CCGGTGGTGCTCACTGCAGAGCACTTCCGCACAGTGAACGACACCATCGAAGAATTCGACCGATACCTAGTCAAAGCTCGGCGTGCCGACGATCGCAAATTGGCCCACATGGAAGGAGTTCGATACGATGGCTACGAGTCCGGACCTACACGAGAACCTGCCGTATATGACGGTTTCAGTGGTTACGAGTCCGATCATGTCCCCGTTGAGCGAAATTCTCGACGCAATGTGCCAGCCCGCACTCCTCAGCGACAATCTCAGTACGCCGGCACCTCGGGTGGCCGAGTCGCAGCTGGACGATACTCCGCTGGTCGGAAACGCGCAGTCATGGTCGAGTCTCAGCATTATGCAGAAGACGACTTTATAGATGACGATATGCATGCCCCAAGTCCCTCTACCGGGCGCAGATATGAAGGCGGACCTAGTTCGCGCATGGAGCCTCGTTCCAGGGTTCAGCCTAGACCTTTGCCTCGAAAGGATGAGGATGTGTACGAGGAGGAGTTATATCCGGATGTCGAAGATCATGTTGTGGAAGAGGAGTACCGTCTTGCGGCGGATCCTGATGCTCCTAGATCCGCTCCTCGCAGCGTGAAAAGAAGCCCCAGATACACGGGGGATTACTCCCCTGTGCCTGCTCGCAGGACTAGAGAGGCGACTCCCAGGTCCCAGCATCTAGAGGTGGAGTAGAGCATTCCCATGGAGCATTCGTGCGCATAGCCGCACTATTATACGCCCCCGATATCCCTTTATGGAAGCATTACTATCTATCATTTCATCATTTATATTGCATCATATACCCACTATATACAAACCCCCTTTCCCGTGATTGCTTTGATATGTTCAACTCGTATATATATTGGCAGCTCAGCAATAATCATCAATCCTCCCCGCCCCAACCAACTGCATCACCTTGCCCCCCTCCGCAAAAACCAATAAATCATCCGACCCCTGCTCAAAAGCAGGCCAGGCAAAATAACTCTCATTAGTCGGATTCGCCGGCACGTTCCCAACAGCAAGCCGCACCGGGCCCCGCGTCGGGTCCTCCGCAAATGAAAGCCACAGCGCTTGCATAGCGTAACTCACGTCCCACTCATACTGCGTAGAGGGACCACCATACTCATAATGCGTACCGAAGAGAATAGGGAGCTCGGCGCTATGATACGCCCCGAACCAAGGCAGGGGTGAGATGTTGGTGAAGTTGCCTGCGTATTGGTACCGGTAGGTGGTGAGATTTGCTAGATTGCGGTTCTTGACTTCCTCTGCGACGGGACAGGCGATAATCGATTCAGTTATTTCGAAGAGGGTGGATTTGCTGGGTCCTGCAGGGGTGAATGAGACGAAGCCGGCGCCTTCGTTGGTGTTGCTTCCTGTTATCAGGGGCTAATCAAGGGAAGAATGACAGGTTAGCTGGTGATTATTGCTGTGGGTAGGGGAGTTTCTTACGATCTTTGCGACCTTTCCTGCAATAGCACGCTCGGTCCAGTTTGCGAAAAAGGTCTTGTTGTCGACGGCTGGTGTGAAAGAAATGGATGGGGAGCCGGAGTATGTCGAGAGAGCGGTTTGCAGTTTCCGAGCGGACACGTTTCGCATGCAGCTGAGTTCTTCAGTGGATGAGAGCCCGTCGCAGCCTACTAGAGTCGCCAGGAACGTGAAGTTGGTGTGTGCGTAGTCTTCGTTGTCAACGATGTTTGGAGCACCGGAGTCGGCTATGAGAGCGGCGACAATGGGGTCTTCTGGATATCCGTATGAGTAGGCTGTTACGCTGGCTGCTCCGGCGGATTGACCCCAAAGAGCAATCCGTGCTGGATCACCACCGAAATTGGCGATGTTGGCTGCGACCCATTCGACTCTGCGGGTATGGTGGTTAGTTTGGGGTTTATTTTGGTTTGGTTGGAGTGGTTGACTTACGCCATTCTTTGGTCGAGTAAGCCGACATTCGGCTCAGATAGCCCTTCGGCGTTCGGGAAGCCGAAGAGGTTGACGCGATAGCTAGCAGAGGTTAGACAATGGGCATGGGATTGGTTGGGTGGGCTGGCATTTACTTCATGATGACCACGATGTGAGACTGAGTCCGTTGCACCCATTTGTCGGGGATTTTGTACAGCGACGCTTCCCCTCCAGATGTGAACCCACCTCCGGGGATGTAAAGCAGCACTGGTAGTGGACGCTGCTGGGATTGAATGTTCTCAATGCGAGGTGCCCAGATTGATAGGTACAGACAGTCCTCTGAGTCTCCTCCGCTGATGAGAAATCCCGTTTCATAGGTGGTGTAGATCGTGGAACTATTGCTTGTCTGTTGGATACATGATGAGGGCAATGCAAAGGCATTGACTGTACCATTAGGCTGTTTCTTCACGGGGCTACTAAAGCGGAGGTCACCAACTGGTGGCTCTGCAAATGGGACGCCAAGCCACTGTCGAACATCAGGGGCTGTCTGGTTGAAGAAGCCTTGTATAGGGCCGCTGGAGGTTTGGACCAGCAGTCCTTCCCCATTTGTGTCTCTTGTAGCCGAAGAAGTGGGAGAAGCTACACAATGAGAGACGAGAAGCGTCGCAATAATGCAGAGACGCGAAAGCATCTTGAAATTGATTATGAGTTAAGCGGTGGCTCATACTGGATCAGGGGCGAAATGGAGACTGCTTTATACCTTTCTATGAGGACCACGGTAGCCCCACAGTTGCGCGGCAAATTGGTTCGGCAGAAGACCAAAACCCTTTGAAGGTTCGTGGAGAGGATAAATGATACAAAACCTCGCTTCTGCAGGCTAAGGAATAAGCCGCCAAACATCTCCCCGGACGACCCCAGATTGCGGGGTCGGAATTGCCGAGTCCCGGCTTACTCTATAATTGGAGCATAAACATCCTGTAAACAAGACGTCAAAGACTTAATGTTGCAGTTCACATAGCCTATAGCGGTTCTGTAGCAATCATATCGGTATATGCCAGTGGGAAAGATGGTATGGTTGAGGGTGTACCATGGCTCGCCACCGATAACTTCGGGCTCGCACCGGCCCGTCTGCCTTATGTACCAAAAGACGGATACACGCTGAACCCAATGGATCCAGGTAAAAAGCAGATTCTTTCAATATAAAATCATGAACTCACTTCGGTGAATCTGCTTGGACCCTGCTGGTGGGATGCGGAGGGGAACTGGGATGTGCGTGTGTGGGGTAAATCTGGGGTAAGCTTTTCCCCAGCCGAGGCAGGGAACTGATGGATATTGCCGCTCTGGACTCGGTTGAACATTCTACCTCCGGACATAGTCATCAGCATTCAGAGGCCTTGGGGGGGTATTCGATAACTCAAATGCACAGTTGAGCTTTACCGGCTGTCCATCGAAGCTTGAGTGAGCTAGTGAGTGAGCGAAGGTTTGCTGTGAAACAAGAGGCTTACGCATGGTCATTATGCACCGTCGCACATTTATATGATAAGCCTCCTGATCTATAACACAAACAATAGGCTTACTTTGATGGAGGCCTGAATTCACCGAAATCCTTCCTCAGCAAGCATGTATGAAAATGTCTATTATTGACACAATACTGCTTGGGAAGTGTCGAAGAAAATGTTCGCAAGCGGAACCTTGCCGCTGACAATCCTCAGCGACGATCAGGTTCAGTCACCCTGATTTAACCTGCATGTACCAGCGTGATATTATAGTCGACAAAGACAAGACCCTTCGGTGGGTAAGTGTTTCGCGGTGCGGACTGACAAAACAGACGCAAATGGCTGCCTGACCTGGAGACCTCAGGCATCACACCTTGGCTTAACCTTCCTGATTGGGATAAGCACAACTGCTCCACGGCACCCTATATCCCTGAACCAAGCTTTACTGAATCGGGATTCCCCGCCTCAGAGAGTGTCATCCGGGTTGCCTGATTGGGAAGACCGTCCATTTTTCAATCCCACAACAAAGAAGACCTTGCTGGGAGAAAGCCGCTTGTGTCGGCAAATTTCCTGTTTTTGGTTCATTATTGGTTAGACCAAGCAAACTGAAGGGGGTGCAACCCTTTTCTTGCTAGCAGCCATCTCAATGAGTTGCTGCAAGTTTGGCGGATTGTCGAAGCTTGGATGTCGACATAAGCCGAAGTTGAACATATTAGCGAAGCTGTCGCAATTGGTGCTGTGCTCTGGAATTTTTAAAGAGTGTCTTTCAGCTCAGCTCCTTCTTCATCCAATTAATGGGCTTCTGGTAAGCGTAGGTCTGCAGTATTACGGTTGTGTAACCACCCAGCAACAGCAGCGCTGCACAGCGCATTGCTACATATTGTTGCTTATTAGAACTGATAAGACCGCTCATACAGCAGTGAGCCTTGAAAAATCATGTGTTGCGCTGTATTATGGCAGATTCTACTCCTGATTCCGCATCATCATTGTCAATCAACGCTTTCACTTCGCGCATCAAGTTACCCATTTGCGACAGTAAAATGGGAAAAAGGGCTTTGGCCGTGCCACTATTGCCGTCCATCGTCGGCATTTACATAGTCAAGGAACATTGAACTTAAATAAGGTGCGTTTAGGAGGGGAGGAGTCTGAAGGAAAAGATCAATAGGGTCTTCCGGAAGGAAATGTTCGAAACCTTGAAGAAAGTACCCGAGAAGCAAGACCGCCAGGGCAGGTTTTTTTTGATTAAATGAAATAGATTCTGTATCCTAATGTTCTTTATACATAAGCCTCGGAGAGAAAGCAGCATAGGCAGTTCTTTATGCTCGTCGACTAAATATCCTTCCACTACATGATGAAGACCAGCCTTCATACCGAGCAAAGGGCAGGGTATGAGCAAAGATCAAGACGGCAAAATATCGGACTTGGTGTCACGAATTTGGTCTTAATTCTGAGGCTAGCACGGCCGAGAAGGGTATAGGACGTCCGATTTGGACATGCAATGAGGTACACAGCATTGCATGAAGGGGAGAGGGGCGGCGCTCAAAGATTTATCCACGGTGATGCATGCCGCTGCACACTAACTCGGATTACATTGCAGTCGTACTTCTATGGTGTCAATTAGTGGTTGCGTCCTGCATAGTGCTCATGGTCTGACACTGAGTACATTAGTCCCCTTTCAAGACAACTGGACCTTCTCGGCCTGAATGCGCTCGGAGAAATTGCGATGGGAGTGGGTAAAAAACTGGTTCAGCCCACAGGGAAGCAAAATTACCGCCATTCCACGCCCAAAGCCTCAACATTCAGCTTGCCTGGTATTTTCGAGACCGGCTAAAACAGTCTTGGCGTTTCTGAACTGGCTTTTGCGTCCGGGTGATGGAGGGCCTCACCATGCATGATGACATGCTACCCGGAACCTTATGTTCGGGACTGGATATGGCGACAATGGGAAAAATAAGATACTACACATGACCTTAACTTTACCAGGAAGAGCTTGCTGACCCGAAAATTCACACCGGACAAGTTAAGCAATAAAACGGACAGCTTATACGCCCTATGAAATAAGCAAATCCGCGGCACATCGGCAAAGTCAACTGGGTACTTGGTGGGCGCGCGATTATTAAATGCCACGGTGGCGTTGGGTCATTCGACGGTAGGGAGAGTGCCACGCCGACAACAAGCAAGCTAAGCATTTCCAGACTCCATTGGAAAATCTCCGGGACAAGAAGGAGATCAAAATCTGACTTCCCGATCGGACCACTCGACTTGCCTTGCGCTCCAGTTGCCCGGCTTGGCTGGTAGTAATGCTTTTCCCACACTGGTGGGGAAAGTCCCGTGGAGTCACGCGGCCCCCCCAAATTCCAACATCAGCGCGCCATGACATCTTCCCTCTCATGGCCTGACCGCTCAGATGCCTTCCCAGCTCACCTTTCTCTGCTTTTTCTTCATGCTGTCTTCTTTCACTAGGCCCTTTCGGATGAATCGAGGACCACTTGTGACTGGGTAAGTTCTCTGCCAGACTCTACTACTCTATGATTTCATCCCGCGTCCGGTGTAATAACCTTAGTATAGCCGCTTCCCAATCAGTCGCCCGAGTTGAGATTTCTTTCAGACCCGGGTGGTGGGCCTGGGGCTCGGACAACATCCGTTGCTCGCACCCCTCGGATAATGGATTCCAATTTCTAAGACACGATACAGTCACTAACGTGGGCCTGGCCTGTATTGAAGTGCCTGGACGCGGGGCTAAAGCCTGGGGTGCTTATTGCGGAGATAATAGGAACCACGGTTGGCGTGCCCCAGGACAACCTGGGGCTCTAATTGGTGGCCGGGTAGCGACTGGAGCTAAGCTAACAACCACCCCGGCTGTTGGAGAGTCGCCGCGCTAGCACCAAGACCAATCAGCAAGTGCTCTGCATAAGATCCAGCCATGTGGCGACTGGTGGCATATCAGACACGTTACACAGCCGTACACCGTACCGCCCAAGTCAGCCCGAGCATACCACTACCCCGGTGAGAAGCTGAGGTATCTCTCTCTCTCGGCCCTGGTCTCCCGTGCGGAGTAGTTTGTACTGACCAGGGGGTCTGCAATGTGACTCGCACTTCGGCATCCGTCTTTCACTTGCATGCGGGTCCACGGCAGGCCTCTGGACGTCCTCGACAAGCTCGGTCGGCAGCAGTCCGGTATTCATTGACCGGAGAAGCGATTTGATCATCAGCCCATGTAGAGCTTACAGAAACCCCCGCGACTGTTTGCTTTCGGGCTAGTCGTTGTCCTGTTTCTTTTTCTATGAGCATGCCCCCCGACGTTAAAATGGCTATTTCTCTCTCCCTCCATTCTCCTTTCCCCTGTTTTACCTTCTGCTGCCTCTCCTGCAAAGCCAAAGTCCTTGTGGTACAAGCAATTCGGCACAATGCAGGGCCAAGCACTTCGTTATGCCCAGATCTTCTTAGTCGCTTGCCCCTCCTTCATTCTTTTTGGTTACAATCAGTCCGGTGTCGGAGGACTCGATGATTTCCCCTCCTGGGTGAGGGTATTTCCAGAGATTGACACAGTCAACACTACTGGGGCGCAAGAGTCGCATAATGCCACCGTTCAAGGAGCCGTGGTTGCGTCGTACACAATAGGAGCCCTTTTCGGGTCCTTGATCTGTACAATGATCGGTGACATGCTTGGACGTCGCCGATCGATCTTTTCTGGCGCACTCATTGCATTGATTGGTCAGATACTGGAATGCACTGCCTACTCTCTAGCTCAATTCGTCGTTGGGAGAGTGATTTTGGGTTTTGGTGTTGGCATGCTCAGTGCGACTGTACCTGTCTGGCAATCCGAGTGCGCGCCTGCCGCCCAGCGAGGACGGAACGTGGTGTTGACAGGCATGTTCATCGCGTTTGGCTTTGCTTTGACGCAATGGGTGAATTTCGGTTTCTACCACATGGAGAACTCGCCTGCCTCATGGAGAGCATCACTTGCCATCCCCGCCTTGTTTTCGTTCATAATCATGGGCAGCATCTTCTTCCTCCCAGAGTCGCCGCGTTGGCTCGTCATGAAGAATAAATCAGACGTAGCACAATTTACTTTGGCGTCTCTGAGGGGACAAGAAGTAGACTCGCTGGAGGTTGTCGCAGAGCTACGGGCTTACGAGCTTTCTCTAGAGGAGTCCTCGAACAACTCACTTAAGCTCCGAGACATTTTCACTATGGGAGAAGAGAAGCTCCTGTACAGGTTTATCCTATGTGTCACTCTCCAATTCTTCCAGCAAATGACTGGTGGAACTCTGATCTCGGTCTACATTCCTCTTATCTTCCAAACAGATCTTGGACTCGGTGCCAGTCTGTCGAAGATCCTTGCGGCATGCGCGTTGACCTGGAAATTCCTGTGCTGTTTTGTGGGCTTTGCCATCATTGACCGCATGGGACGACGCACAGCGTTTATGGTCAGTGGCGGTGGCATGGGCATGTGCATGCTGGCATTGGCGGTCTCCAATTCCTTCTCCAATAACCATACCGCATCCATTATTTCCGCCCTGTTCATTTTCATTTACAACTTCTTCCTTCCGATCGGCTTCTTGGGCGCCAACTTCCTTTACCCAGCCGAGGTTGCTCCTGCGCGTCTTCGTGTCGCCATGCAAGCAATTTCGATTGCCAATCAATGGCTCTGGTATGGCTCTCACTCATAATAATTCAACTGCCTTCCCACTTATGCTAACTCTTCTCTCCTTCAGGATGTTTGTCGTCGCAATGATCACGCCCGTCGCCATTGACAACATCGGTTATCGCTACTATATCGTCTATGCCATCATCGGTGGCATTATCCCTCCCGTCATCTACCTGTTCTACCCAGAAACAAAGGGCCGGTCCCTTGAAGAAGTTGACGAGATCTTCCGTGACGCTCCCACCATCTTCTCTGCGGTGTCGATGTCGAAGCACAAGCCCATGGGCGATAGGGCCATGGAGCGTGTCATGGAAGAGAAAGCAACTGTGGAAGAGATAGAGTAAAAGCATAGAAGGACAAACTTGGATGAATTTATGAGCGTTATGTGTCCTAGATAGACATAGATCTACACTGCCATGATACACGTTTGCTACATATTATACGTGTTTCGTAGCTACCTTGCTATTTGTGTATCACCACATTCAATATTGTCAGAAGCACTTCAGGACTCTATAGAATATCAAACCAGTGCTCAGCAAACTGGTATCATGTTATGAGCCCACAGGCGACAACCTAGTCCCGTGACATACAGTCACATTTTGAATCCCTGTAACCGGATGCTCAGCCGAAATCAACAACTATGTAAAACCAAATACTGTTCGTAGCAGGACAATATACAAAGAGACAGACATTACCTTTTTTAAAACTTGAGTCTTGTCGGACTAATTGCATACAAAAGACAGTCAATCCTAGCATAGGGCTTCAACAGAATCATTCACATCAGCGCAAGAACCTGGGGTTTCGCTTACAAGCGAATGTTCTGCCTTTTTTCTAAGCGAACATCGTCGATACGGGTATTGGCACACCCACCATCTGTACACTGGAGCTCAGCAGCGTCTCAGACTCTCTGTGAGCATATTGCTAGGTATTAATAGCGCCTACTTTGTGATCAGCACAATTGGTGTGCTATGTATATCAACACGATAAGCAGAGGGATTGGTGGTGATGAGCACACGGTTGGCTTGATATGTAGTGTTCTTGATGACGGTATTGCCGTTCTTAGCACCATTATAAGCTTGACGAATGACTAGGGTGTCGTCGAGAGAAGCATCATCTTTGGCTAAAGCCGCGCATTGCTTCGAGTGAAGCTAGTGAGAGCAGATGGAAAGGCTATTGTGAGTGCTCATTTGGAAATGTTGAGAAAAAATGGGAGAATGGACTTTAGTGAGTGGCTAATTCTTTCATAAGTGCTGCTGAGTTTCATTACCAGAGACTGCCCATCCCTGAAATGTGGCTAGTGAGAAACCTTTATTTCTTTCTTCCAGTGGGGTTTCAAGACTGAGCTTTCTCAATCTAGGATGTGCGGCAAAGATTGAAGGCAAATGGCTTCAACACACTTAGGTTCGTGTTGGCTCCTCTACTAAATGGACATCCCATTAATGTCAGCTATAGTGTCTACTTCTTCTGGAGTTATCACTCTGCTTCCAGGGATGCATATGATTTTGAAAGTGGGGCACATAACATACAGCGTCTTTTTGATATGGCCAAACAGACAGGCCTATGGGCAATTGCCCGACCGGGTCCTTATGTCAACGTAAGCAGCCATAATGGCTCACAACCCGAGGTTACATGGAACAGACTGACTCATAGATTTCAAAAAGGCACAACAAATGCGGGCGGTTTAGCTCTATGGGGCTCTGATGGCTCCATGGGAAAGCTGCGGACCTCAGATGAGGCCTATCATCAAGCTTGGCTTCCATATATGAGGAAGGTCGGACAAATCATTGCAGCGAACCAAATCACAAAAGGTGGTGTATGTGTACAGCTGTTTCCTGGTGACTAGAGTGTGGCATGCTGACTTGTAGCGTACAGCCCGTCATACTCTTCCAGGTAGAAAATGTCGAATGGAACGGCCAGCTGCTCACAGCAACCAAGACGCCCTATGGCTCCTACACAGCCCAAATACCTGGTACAGAAAACCGATCAGTAACACTTCCACGTTTTAATTACTGGCGCTCAGCAGAATCACTCCCCGATATCCAGCCAGATTTTGACGACTCCAGATGGACGGTCGCGAACAAGAATAGTACTCTCAGCCCACAAGCCCCTCTTACCCTGCCAGTTCTTTTTAGCTCCGACTATGGTTACTACGCCGGAGCCAAAATATACCGTGGCTACTTTGATGGCATCGAACACACTGCAGTCAACATTACCGCCTCTGGAGGTCTTGCGTTCGGGTGGAACGCATGGCTAACCGGACATCTCATTGGGGGCCACCCTGGCGATCCCGATCTATCAGCCACAAATATGACTCTAACGCTTCCAGTGTCCCATCTCAAGAAGAGGAACAATGTCATCACAGTCTTAGTTGACTACCATGGCCACGATGAAACTGATATCCCTAACGGCGCTGAAAATCCCAGAGGCATTCTCGGCGCGTATCTCCTTCCAGGAGGGACACGAACAGCAACCGGGTTCAAACTATGGAAGATTCAAGGTAATGCTGGTGGTTCGAAGGATATTGACCCAGTCCGTGGACCCATGAATGAGGGTGGCCTCTATGCTGAACGACTAGGCTGGTTCCTCCCTGGCTTTCCGGCTTCAGATGACAAGGAGTTCAAGAGTACTTCCAGTCCGCTAGACGGCCTCTCAGAATCAGGTGTCCGCTTCTATGTCACAACATTCAATCTTGATATCCACAGTGATCTAGACGTACCCATTGGTGTTTCTCTCTCAGCGCCAAATGGCACCATAGCACGTGTAATGCTTTGGGTCAATGGGGTAAGTCTCAGGTCGATTTCACAACATGGTATGAACCGTTGATATACTGACATTCATTTGCCATGTAAAAGTATCAATACGGAAAATACGTCCCTCACATTGGTCCGCAGACGAAGTTTCCTATCCCTCCGGGAATCATCAACAACCGGGGTCAGAATACATTAGCCTTGAGTGTGTGGGCGCAAACAGATGCCGGTGCGAAGCTCGACACTGTGGAGCTGTTTACTTATGGGTTGTATCAAACGGACTTTCAGTTCTATCGGAACTGGAGTTATTTGCAGCCAAGGTGGGAGGATAGAAGCATGTGGTCTTAGATCATTTAGGGAGAGATTTGGGCATTATGTTTGGATATTAATTCGCTATAGATACAGCTTCATACCCATACCTTACAATGGGCTGTGTAGTTCAGGTAGCAAACCTTCCACTTGATACTTAACATGGGTTATCTTTCTCCACCTACTTCATTGTCATCGCTCCTTCCATTTATTAACAGTCTTCCTGCCAAGAAACATTTCCAACAAAAGACAAACATCCTCAATACAATCCTTTCAATTCATTTTTCCTGGTTGCATCCCTCTTCTGGCACGATCTTTCCCGCAAATCGAGCAAAAATCGTCATAATAAACCGGAACTCTAGAAGATCCCAGCTCGGCAGCGGCAGTCTCTCCGGATCAGGAGTTGTCAGAGTGATCCAATCCCCAGATTTCAAATCCTTGAGTTCTTCCGATTCAAACCCAATCAATTTTACTGTCGTCCCCTTTCTAATGCGAGGAGGCTTGCTGAAAACACAGATTTTGTCGCTCCAGCAATGATCCTGCAAAGTTAGCCAGAAAACTTGCACCTTAAGTTCCCTGAGACGCTCCCTATGGTCTGGATGGGGTCGGAGCACAAAGTCCCCCCATTCCCAATACTTTCGCAGTACCGGACTCAAAGAGATATAATTTTGGATAGTCTCTACCGCCTCAATATGTGGAAAATTGGGAAACAATGGCTGCTTCCATCTCTTTACTGTTTCAATCTTCCACCATCCGTAAAGTTCCGCCCAAAATTTATGAAAACTGAGTTCTTGAAGTAGATGGTCTGGACAGATATCACAAAGCATAGAAGTTGACTGAGATGTAATAACACATTTGTCGGCGTCTCTTTCTCGGACGTTAGCCATGATAGTGGAACAGACATCATCGTCGCTGTCTGATTCTATGGTGGTGTTCTTTTCATCCACTGAGCCGTCATAGACATTTGCTATGAATAGCTTGGTGGTATTGGTCCACTCTTTCAGAACGCGCATTATCCTAAAAGTATCGCGATTCTTGTGTCCGTCAGGCGCCCACCATTTTATAAATCCATCAAGTAATTTCATCTCGCAGACCAGTAGAATAGCCCAGACACAGCGTGGCACCTTCTCCTTCTCATCATTGCCAGGCTCCTGGAAGGCTCCTTTGAAAAGGGCAAGACGTTTACTCGTCCGGAAAGTGAGACTGCTTTTGTTGTTCTGAAACAAATCCATAGGGAAGCTGTTTGTTTAGATTGATAAAGAAATAAATCTGGTATGGCTTGTTGGGTCAAGAACCATGTCAGCTTTTAGCCAATTTTTGTAATTTTGAGGGAGCTCCAATTCACCCACCTAGTAACGCACTGGGACAGGATGTTGTCAAAAACCTTATCACGGTGTAGATCGAGGAGAAAGAATAACAGGCAAGGTTGGAGGTTGAATGATGCTGTAAGTATTGACTTGACCTGTGAGCAGCAGCTACCGACTACGGACATATACAGAAGTCAGAAGAATTTACACGGAGCCAAAGCAGGATATTCACTGGGTTTTGAACATTCACCATAGCCAGGTCTCTCAACACCTCTAAATTTACAAGGGTAGTGACATTCACTCCCTCCCGTGTGCACCCCACTATATATGTGGGATTGTATGAATTTGGGAGTCCGCGGGTATCTCCGAGTAGTACTACTGATGGGCTTATGGTCTTGTTTGATGATTTTCCTAGGTCACTGATTACAGGCCTATAACCACTAGCATCTTCTTCATTTGTGTAAATCGCCACAAATATTGCATGTCTTGACATCGTCATATAGTGTACGTTCATACTTGTCGGAAATCTTGGGCTGTCCCCTTTTTATACTTTCTTTCTCTCCAAATAGCTCTCATTTTGAGTCTGTGTACGGCACTAACTCAAAATTTTGTCTGGTAGATAATATGATATATTATTCAACCACTATTAAAGACCGGCCAAGTGGATATAGTTTACAAAACAAAACGAGAAACACAATCTGACGTGTAATCCTTCAACCAAGAAGTAGGTTCACATTCTCCCAATTACTGACTTTGCTTATACATCCACTCGACTATTAAAGAGTTGGCGCCAACAGCGTGGCAGCGCAGTGAGCACAACAAGTCCCGAAAGCGGCGTTACATGCCACTATGGAGGCCGGTGCTGTAGCACCAAGTGTGGCACCCCAAGTATAGCCTGCCGCTGAATAGCAGGCCATCACAACAGCTGCGCAACCGGCCTGACAGATTCCGTAGCCCAGTGGGCCGGCATAGGCATAGCTGGCAAAAATGAAGATGGTAGTAATAGCCAGATATAGGTTCTTCATGGTTTGGATATAGTATGAAGATTGATTTAGGATGGTGAATGTCTGCGAGGACAAAACTGCAAGCCCAAGCAATATATTTATTCTCTGGAAAGGGGCACCAGAATTGAGTAAAGATGATGTAACTACTTAAATCGTGGATCGAGTGGCTTACTATTGGTTCTACCAGAATATATTATGAAAAGCCACATCGTTCTTTGGGCGCTTCGGCAGTAGACCCAGGTGCCGCTTGTCTGTAGGCACCGTTTAGCTCTATGATTCCGCGCCTATAGTAAAATGTTTGTGAGATGTTAGTAGGTAGGTCTGGGATAGCATATTGCTCATAGTAGCATTCAAGAACAAAGAAAACAGAAAAGAGCCCTGAAGAAAATAATACCACGTTAATGAGGTAGATCCGACCGGGGTGGAGAAATACGAGCTGCCAGGATGTATGATCTATATCTCGGCAGAAAACCAGTCTTTGACCGCTCCCTACATCGCTTCAAAGACACCGAAGACCGCCGTATCCCAAATCGCTTGCTGATTGAGCGGGGGCATCTTGAAACAATGATTTCTCAATCTGCGTGGTATCCCTTTCGACATCTTCGAGAAAATCTTTCTTCTCATCCACTTCCCGCTTATCGACTTTAGCACTGCATGATGGTACAGCAGGTATTTCTGGATGATCGCTGCTGGCTTTTCGAATACTTTGCTGATACTCGAAGAAATTTTGGAAATTATATATGTCCTTCAGCTGCCGGCGCTTTTCGTAGTTGGTATCGTAATATGCATCCCACCAGCCAGTTAATGTATTGTCAAAGAAGTTCATATACGTCACTTTCCCTCCAATAGCATGTTTCGTTAGCTCGTCCAGGAGTCTTTGGACTTCTTGAATCATTTCCTTCTCCGTAATTTCATTATCCCGGCTTGCCTTCATGCCGATACTGCATGCACAACAGCAGCAGGTCTCTTCAGACTGTAGCGGAGATCTCTGACCGAGACTGAGTATCTGTAGCCCTGCGACGCAGGAAACAGCACCGAACCTCGGTGTAGCCTTGACAAAAGGGGTACGATTTTTCTCCGAACTTCATCTTCTTCTTGTTGGGTAGCGTCGTCTTCAAGCAGTGCAATATCCACTTGATGCTGGATTTCGCGGTCTTTCCATCGAGGAGGAGTTCAGAACCTTCCTAGACAGGAAGGTTCTGCAGAATCAAGAACTCTTTTTCCTCTATCGACTTTTCCAGCTTGCAGAATACCAAGATCCAAGTACACTCGATATCTCTAAAGGATAGCTATGCTCTCTATGATTTATTTTAGCTCAAACATGAAGAGGCTTGGTTATTTCATAACTCTCTACGAGTTCTTCACCCTATTCTTGGACTTATATTGCTCAGGGCTAGACTGAACAAGCTACTCGATGTGACTGGCGAGGGCTATCTCCACTGACAGGATACCGAGGCTATCTGGCCAATTGACTTCGAGCTACAATGGCATTTTCCAACAACGATATTCTGGATTCGCTGCTGGCGAATGTAAAGTTGTAGGCCCTTGAGTTTATTCCGTTGCATGGGTCCGCGAGAGACTCGATACCGGTCACTTTTTATATGAGAAAGAAAAAATAGTTCTGTTCGAAGCCTTGTCTGAGAAGCAACCCGAAAGCGACTTACCCCATGCCAAAAGACCCTAGTGAAATTGAAATGTTGATTGCATTTGACAATATTATCGACCTACGAGAAATTGAAATCTAGTTGCCGAGGCCATAGTGGGGTACAGCCCTATTCTCTCTATTATGATCATCGTTTTTATTATGGTTATATTTATGATGGTTTCCAATTTCCCCGCTAGGGGTTAGGGCGCTAACATCAGTCGTACTTATATCTTCCAACGGTAAGCCAACTGCGTGACTTGAGCCACAATGCTGAAACTGTAATGGGATAAACACACTTCTCGTCCTATTTTACAAATTGTTGGATGACTGTACTCCTGATCTATACTGACATTGGAATAATTTCACTGACATTGGAAAGTTTGGGGAGACTATAGTCGGAGATGTTCTATTTCCCTCCAGCAAATGGCGAACGTCAGCCGCGAAGCTGTTAAACGCCCGCGATTCTGCGATTTGTACTCGACTCTAGGCCAATCATGAGTCACTTTTATCCAACTTCAACTAGCCGCCCTGCGTCGCCAGCCAACAAAAGTATCCATGTCCGGTGATTTGGCTTGACCGGTCTAAGATTGATCCGACTCGCAGCCTCGTGTTACCCCGCTTCGAAGTATCAGTCCACAGCTGTATCTTTGAACATTTCAGGTGGTTGCCATCCTGCGCTGCGTCGAAGTACAAGACTACCTCAACATCGACAAGATGAGATTGTCATGTGCCCTTTTCATGCTGCTGGCTGTCGGCGTATATAGTGCCGACCTTGGAGGTGAGTGCTCCCGATGTTTGACCACATCTTTGTCACTAAAATCAGGACGTACTGCAAAAGCGCTTTCAACCACTGCTCCCGATCGAGACGGACAGGATCTTTTCCTAATTCCCCAAGACAACTATAATGGCTGGGTAAATCCCGAAGATCTCAGGCCTATGCCACAATGCATAGCGCAGCAAGATCAGTCGACCTGGCTGGAAATCATGACAAAGTGTACTGCCAAACGGTGCACTTCCCATTTCGGCTTCATTTGCACCCATCACCAATGGTTGACTCATCTCGGCTGTCTCAGCGTTGCATTCTCCCCAGATGTTATCGCAAGGTATCTCCCCTACTGTGGCAGATCGATACTCGCCAAGGCGCAATTGTATTCATGGATTCGTGACATCACGGGTAGAGAGTGGCTTGTCGAGGTCGGCGACACGAATGAGCTCCAGAACCTTTCCCCTGCCTCACTAGCCGAGGGGTACTCAACTGTGGACGTTCTCAAGACGGCGCCAGGATGCCTCACCGGCTCAGTCTGTTCATTTTCAGGGGAGCCTTTCCAGCGGGTCATGGCTTCCTGTGGCTTTACAAGCGCAAGTCATCACACAGGAAATGCTGCCCGGCCCTGGGAATATGACGAGCCCGTGCGATCCATTATCGCTCTTGATTCAGAGACAGTTGGCTATGACCTTGTCCAGCAGCACATAAAGGATGGCTACTACTTTGACAAGGGTTGCTTCTGCAGCGCCTTCGCTGTAGATTTCGAAGAAGAGCCTTGTTCAGACTCAGAACGATTGGAATGGACGAAACAGCGCCTTTGGCTCAATGCAACCTGTGGGTCAAAGTCCTTACCCGATAACTGGGCGGATGCACTTCTAACTACACCATTCGCCTTTATTTCGCTTGAGGGTTGGAGCTGGCCCAAGTGCGTCGTGGATATGCCAAAAAAGGTCACTGATCTTACAGATCAATGTGCAGCTGATGCGTGTGAGCTCGATTCTAGCGGATATTGCCAAGTCACACGTGCAGTTGACAGGAAATGCTTTTGCCAGCATATCAGCTATGATTCCTGTGAGGGTTCGTGCCAGATATTCGAAACCCGAATAGACTATATCAGATGGCTTCACGATCTTTGTGGTGGTGTTCAGGACTGGCACGGTCTACCAAATAACTGGCGTCAGCTATCTGCGCCCACCTTGGTCGAAATGATACCATGGCAATGGGCTCTCAAGCCCTCCATGGCACCAGACATCACCCCTATTACTCAGCCTGGAGACATCAAAGCAACCGAAGCATGTCCCTCGAATCAGTGGAAATTTGGAGGCTTTGCTATTATAAACATAGCTACTTTCATCGCATTGCTTCTCTGTCAGAGGAAACGCATGCTTCAAAGCAAAAAAATCATTTCAGTAGAACAATCACAGCCGATTTATTGGGCTTTCAAGGGCATTCTCCTTGCCACTATCCAGATCTTTGCCAACTTGTTCAGTTCTGTGCTGGTTCAGAAAGTTCCGGGCTATGAAGAGGTTCCCATATTTCAACAGATGCTTCTCTGGTGTTCAATGCCTCGCCTTTCATGGCTGGCGATGTTCTTACTCGGTCTACAACCATTTGGGCCAAAGAGCCTGTCCGCGGCTGCGTCTCTGTTATTTGCGGAAATACTCCTCCAGTTCCTATCCGCATATTACCTACTCATAACAGTCTATTATGGCTATGAACACAACTTCTACCTCGGCACTGTAGAGATATGGGTACCTGCGAAAATTATGTACGCCGGAGCACTTATGTGGCTATTAACCGTTATCATGGCATTTGCTGTATCAAGTCGGGCGATGCGCAAGATGGAAAAGTCTTGGGTATCCGTTTTCACGTCTCTAGATATTTCCGAAGAAGGAATGCCGCCAATAATAGAATATCACAACATACGAACGGGAAGGATTTTTCATCCCGCGACCGGAAGGCCAAGGGCCCCGGAAGAAGCACCATTAATAAGGGATCAAAGCAATCGCACAAGCTACGACCCTCTCCTCGTCAAGCCTCGTCTGATCTCGCTACCCCACAGGCCACGGCTTGCGGAATTGTATGCGGCTACTACCAGTTTCTTGCTTCTTCTTTGGATTGCGCAATTGCTCTTCTGGGCTGGGTTTATCGGTCTAAGTTCTGATGAGTACGTATTTCTTGCAAGCGCAATGTCAATTGTGGTTTTCATCGGCTAACAAACTGTGCTTAGGTTCTGCCCCCCAATACTTGGGATCCTGACAGCTGTGTGGATGGCTTCGTCGCTGGTGGGCACTATTATTGCTTTTTCTTAGTCTTTCTTATTTGGATGAAGTAATGTACCTTTCTCTCTTCCGCTCCAAGCAGTTTGAACATTTTCGTGTCTTATATGTAGGCTGAAATTTCATGCCACGTAAGCGTGATGAGACCCTCCGGGTCAGGTGAAGGGCTTTTCAATTATAGGAGAACGGTGTCGATTGCTGTTTCTGTGTTAACAATCTACCAGATGTCGAACCATTGACTTCGTTCCTCCCACTCGTCTCGATTTATGATTTTGTCCACGTACACCCTCTGTAAATTTCATCAGTACAGACCTCCTATATTAAGAGGCAGGACTCACCTTCATAAGCCTGCGAGAATATGCATCTCCAATAAGCTTCCAATAAGAGCCTTCCTGTCTTTATTACAAAGCATCCAGGGCTTCCGGAAAGGATGCAGAGATAATCACCAGCCTGAGTGTCAGGCACGCCCAATCCAATCAACCCATTGGCTGTTGTGAAAATCCGGCGGTTTGATGAGCGGCCCATGGTATTCAGGTATCTTGGAGAAATTTGCTCGCTGGCCCTTGCGGACGCTGATTTGCATCATTCAACAAACTCTTGGTACTCTGAAGCGAGGGTCTCGTCCAGCAGTCTTGCGCAAGCATCATGGTACGGCCCGTCCCGTGGCGGGTATATGGGCATGCAATGCTTGACTAGTATGCATGAGTTTATGCCGGTCGCAGATCCCATTTATTCCCTTCTGTCTGTCCATTAGCTATTTGTCGTGTCCACTCGCCGATGCTCTCGGGTGGTGAAGTGTACTGTAATTTCTTTCGTTATCGTTCACTGGCAAAGTTCTTACGATCCAACAGGTCTCAGCTTTCTTTCAAAATGGCTGGTCGTCGTATCCTACTTGCCAGAAAGGATCCTGACTAAGATTTGTCGAGAGGTACAGTAGCATATTCCAAAGTCCGATGTTTCTGCTAGTCTAGCGAAAGATGATAATTGCTAACTTGGGGAACTTCCATGCTCGATTGTCGGGATAGTCCAGAATCACGACCTTTATTCAATAATATCTTTCGATTTCTTCTCCCTCTATTCTTTCCTCCTCTTCTTCTTCCTTCTCTCGCTTATGTTCTGTCCTTCTGATTTCTGCAAAAGCGAAGATTCCTCATCGACATTCTGGGTTATCTGCATACACAGAGCTGAGCAAAGTTATTGGAATCGATTCGATTTCCAGCTAACTGGTAGAGGTTATGAAATGCTTAGTGTATGAAAATTATGAGGAGCTCGTCCGCAAAGTAGGACACAGCAGTGGCCGGATTGTTCGTGGTCCTGAGTAGCTCATAGTTCGTAATGCACTGATACTGCAGTGGTCCTATACCAACTTACAATATATACGAAGTACTAGGAATGCCGCTACTTCTTGGAGCGAATCTTGGAAGATCTTTTCTGTAGGTTACAATCACGACTATTTTATGAGATCTTTCACCGCAAATGCTGTTGCGGGGACTCAGGAGTTTTGGGTTGTCCAACATGGCCTATCCGGGCTATTTGGCTCTACAAGGCTACTTACTATAAACTACTATATATTAGCTTTTGACGTCATTGACCAATCGGTAACTGTCTCTGAGGCTTGATTCGTTGTAGATGCTTATTGATATTGGCAAAAAGAAAAGCCAAATTTCAGGGAGAGTATACCGTAGCTCTTCCGTCCATTCTCACAACAGACTATTATGTCTGGTCATGTGTCAGTCACCTGATGCTGCTCAATTGACCTCAGGATCTACCAAGATCGAGCAGCCCCCACAACTTGAGTATGCCAACTGTAGAATCCTTATGCCAAGTTCTCAAAACCATCCCATTATAGCTTGGTACTTGACCTACTTACAAACATGAGCCGAACTCTACTCCGGTACCTCGCTGTCGCTCTTCCAACCATACCAATCGGCCGTACTGCACCATCTCCCAACACTACAGACCCGCATTATAGTCCAGGCGACATCACTCACATTCGAACTTTTCCAGATCAGTTCAATCGTTGACTCATCACCCCGAAAATTCCGTCCGGCGTTCAACTTGGCCCCCTATAGCACAAGTCTAGCCTCAAGAGACAAGTGTTTTTTTTTTTCCTAGATATCCTATTGAGAGAGAGGAGACGAACTATGCGTAGCGGGTTCTCTCATCGACATCACATCGTGACGGCATGTATCCCCTCAACCGTACCCGCCTTCCGACGCACGGCCCCCTGGCTTCCTGACGCGGTGGCCGACGAAGCCGAACATCCTCGAGATTCCACGTCCGAATCAAAGTAGTCCTCCGAGTTTATCAACCCTAATCGCAGCGCCCAGCCCCTCTTTCCTCCATGCTCCGCGATAAGCTCCGAAGCCATATCCAAGCGTCTGCCATACTTATCAGACCTCCTCTTTACCTCCAGGACGTTCCCATGCATCTGCAATATGGTGGTGAACTGATTAGCCACAGCCAGCAGACCCGCTGAGACAATCAGTAGCAAGATTAAGAGAAGCTTTCCGAATTGAGTCGCGTTACTGGCAAAAGCGGCATCGAGATATGTGAGCACAGTGGCAATAGCGGCAACCCAGCTCTCATAGGGCTCCATCTCGCGGAGCCACTGGCCCGCCGTGACGGCTTTCACATCGTCGATGGCGCCCTGAATACGCACCCATCGGTCTTGGCTCAGAAGAACGAGCAGATCGCTCCGGCCCGTCTCAGATGCGCCAATCCAGTCCAACCGGCTGCGAGCGTCAATCCAGTTCATCTGGCTGCGAAGACGGATTAAGACCACGTTGAGGGCGCGCGCGAGAATCATAATCAGGATCACGAACAGGCCCCACCAATCCTTCATTAGGATCAGGCAAACCAAGACGGCGATGGTCAGTGAGGCAGCTATCGCGTATGTTAGGACGGAGATTATGTTGGCATTGGCCGTGATAAACAGGACATTCGCGGCCCGTTCCGCCCAGCTCATGTGGTTGTCAATATTGACGACTTCGACGGTGGTGAGGTGAGCTGTTTTGCTGATCTTCTGGAGGTAGTGCACCGTGGCTGGGTTCTCAATACGGAACACATAGCCGCTGGTCATCGCGGCGGCGGCCGGGTACTCGCCCTTGTTGAGATCTGAGGCATGCTGCTGGAGGTGCAAGCCCGGGCAGAGAATGAGGCAGTCTAGGAGGGCGGCCGTTCCAGTAATAACTGTGCGTTGGGAGACAGTCGAAAGGTCAGCAATGGCGACCACCCCAGCGAGGTCGAGGGAGAAATTAGGAAGCTTGGGATGCAACATTGGTGCGAGGTCCTGCTTGCGATGGAGAGGTTGACTTGGTTGCGGGCTTCCCCATGGTAGAGCAAGAAGATGCCGCGGAGGGCGAACCTATTCCAGGGAATTCACTCATTTCTACTGATATGGTGTGAATTTCCGACACAGAGGTCGGCGACCTCAGCTGGGTGGGGTTTCTTGCTGGTGGGGGCTGACGTGGCGACGTGTTTGACAGAAAAACAGGGAATGTTCAGGCAGTGCACAGAGACGAGTAACGAGTCAGATAGTCCGAAAGCAAGATGTTTGCTAGCCTTGGGATGAGGAGGAAAAGAAAAGCAAGAAAACGGGGCCGATTATTGGCTCCTTATGTGTAGCTGCATATGCAAGTTGAAGCCGTAGTGCCGGGGAGCTGAAGTCTTGCCCACCCGGCACGAACATGTTGCCGGAAGAGTCCGTTCCGGGCACAACTGTTTACCACGATGGAGCCCGAGTACCCCGAGCCCCGGTAAGGGCAGAAAGGTGCCAGATTGCTTAAGCCCTTAAAGTCTCTAAGGCGGACTTGGGTCGACTTTCAGAGGGGCATGGCTCTTTTTTCGCTCCAGAGCCCTAGATCCATCGACCTCACTTGTTGAATAAAAGTCACCATGAGTTTACACAAAGCTCTAAGGAGGCGGAGGGAGTGGCTCTTTGATATAACAGAGGAGCGCAATAGTGGGGATAAGTCCGAGGGCTCCCTGGGTACCACCATTCCAGACATTCCCAGAGACCGTGAGATTCACAAGCTGATAAGAGGTTCAGATGACTGTATCAAACTAGCCTCCAATCTGATTACCGACAACCAAATCCTTTCATATGACAAGGGCCTTTCAGACAGCGCTTCGAGCCCGGTCATACTGAATGATGGTATCCTTCCAAAGGAGCCCGAGATACGTGACCTGGCGCCTGGTCGACTTGCGTTCCGAAAGCCTGGTGATACTTTCTGTCAGGAGCAACATTCATGGAGAAGTATTATTGAATTAAAGAAACACCGGGAGATCTTCGGAGAGCTGCGGTGGGCAATTCGCTTGGGAAGCTGGATAAATGGCAACCCACAAGAAAACCTCACCCAGCTAATTGAAACCCGATTAGCCGGTATTAAGAACATCAAAGCCAAAGTCGATAAGATCAGCAATGCTCGCCACCAGCTTTCTCAGAAATTGCAGGAATTCGCATCACGGATTGAAGGGACGGAAAGCAGTAAATCTGAGCTTCCAGACCTGGAAATGGTTCAGCTGTCTCTCCGTATAAAACGGTATGAGGTGGAACAAGCTACTGAAGAGTACCAGAAGGGTATTTCGAACTTAACGAGCTTGAAGGAGAGAATTACGCTGCTTGTCAAGTTCATAGAGCGCGGGGGTGACGGGATAGAACACACGTCTGATCAAGCGGAGCAGGCAACGGATGATGAAGAAAATGCAAATGAAGGCGCTGAAGGTCATTCTGGTGAGGCCAATGTTATGGTCGATGAACCCACGGAGGCAGAGATGGAGGTTCAACATGATCTGGTGGTAGAAGGCATGGATCCCAATACAACAGACAAAATACACGGACAGGAACAGGCGATGGCTTATACAAATAAGACGAATTCGTGCGAAGAAGGAGAAAGGGAAGATGGAAAGGAGGAGGTAAAAGAGGAGAGAAAAGAGGAAGGAAAAGAGGAGGAGGAGGAGGAGGAGGAGGAGGAGGAGGACGACGACGACGACGACGACGACGAACAGGAGGAGAGTTCACAACAGCATCTCGATCAACAGGAAAAGCCTGCAGCTTCTTATATTGATATGGCAAGGGAACTTTTGGAAGAAACCGAGAAAGAACTGGCTGAGCAGGAAAAGAAGAACACGGAGTTAGAGACGCGCAAGGACGAGGCGTGGGATGAATACCAACAAGTGGGGAAAAAGAGTGTATGGACAAAAGTGGAAGGAAAAAATCTGGACAGGACTTTGAAGACTCTCCGAGGTGAATTCGGCAAAGTGAAAGAGCAATTGCAGATTTTGGAGGACTTTGAGAAGGAGCAGAAGGAAGATTTGCAAAAGCTTGAGAACGAAATAGCAGTGGTCCAGGCAAAACAAAAGGCCTTACAGCTGGCGGTGACCCAAATAGCACAGGAGGTGCAGGCAGAAGTTGTCAACCAATATCCGGAGCCAGAAACATCCGCCAGCACACACTCCACTGGACTCTCTGGCACGGAATCCGGTCAGCGTCAGCAGTTTATCAATAACCGCTTAAAGACTAAGCTGGCGAAGCATATCGACAACGAACAGGCAGAAGCCCTCGCCACACTCAGGGCTGGAATCAAACAGAATACCAAGCTAGGACTGGCTGACAAGGATATCGACGAGTTGTTGAAGGTCCACTGTGCTGTGTTCGTGGCCCAGCCACTCACGCGACTGACGAACGCAAGAGAAAAAATCTACAGAGACCTCAATGATTGTGAATTCCGGCTGCTCGTCTTGTGTAGCGCCCCCAACAAATACCACCCCCTTATCGCCCGTCTTCAAAAGAACGTATTCCAAAAGGAGGCTTCGAACATAGACAACCTGAATAAGAAGAGAGATTACGCCGCACTTTCCTACTCGTGGGGCGATGGATCAGCGGACCACCACATCTACTTGCTCCCGGAGGGGACCGATCGGATTGAGGATTCATTTTCCCTGCCAATCCGGGAAAACCTCTTCTGTGCATTACACCGATTGCGGAGGAAAGACGAGAATGTGACCCTGTGGGTGGATGCCGTGTGCATTGACCAGGAGAATGCTGCAGAGAAAACCAGTCAGCTCGGGTGCATGCCTGACATTTATAGTCAGGCCAGGATGGTCTGTATCTGGCTGGGTGAAAGTGACAATGAAAGAAGAAGTGATAAGGCGATTGATTCCATCCCACAGCTGGTAGACATGGCGACTTTGGACGCCAACACTGACGCCAAGGATCATGCTCAGCAGTGGGCGGCTCTTTCAGAGCTCACCCGGGATCCCTGGTTTGCTAGACGATGGATTGTCCAAGAGATCTCACTTGCGAGTAAGGCCGTTGTATATTGTGGTGAGAAGATGGTTCATTGGGATGCGCTGGTCGATGCTATTGCCCTTCTGGTGGCCAATGAAGAGCGAGTCAGAGCCTTGTTCGATCCTACAAAGTGGCGATATGGGCGCAATACCCTAGGGGAGATTCAATTTTCGAGCGCAAACGTCCTTCTCGAGGTGATAAGTAGCCTGTTTCCAACGACCGAGGACCGAAGCAAACACAAACCGTTGAAAAGTTTGGAATACCTCGTAACAACTCTCCAGACTTTCGATGTCAGCGACCCACGCGATTTGATATACGCCCTAGTCCATATTTCGCGCGACCATGCAGAAGAGAGAATCACAGTGGGTCACCAGCCTACGGAGAAGCAGCGAAGCCCTGAAGAGGTGCAACGGATCCCGCCCAAGTTACATATCGACTATGGGACACCCATCCCTACCGTGTTCAAGCAATTCACGCAGTATTGCGTGGAGACATCCGGCTCATTAGACATCATCTGTCGCCCTTGGGCAAAACAGCCCAAATCTCAGGAACGCTCCCTGCTCAAGACAGACAATAGTCTTCCAAGCTGGGTTCCTTTGCTTGAGAACGCGGAGTTCGGTGGTCCTGGACAGTCCCACAAAGGTCGAAAGAATGGACGAAGCTTTGTCGGAACCGTAGGCCAGCAGATCTACAACGCCTCCAATGGCATGCAAGCAAAGGGTGTCACGTTTGACGAATATCCAATGCGCATGAAAGTCAGTGGCTTGCTTCTGGGAACGGTGGAAGAGGTTTCCCCGCGTTGTAGTGGGGGCGTGGTATTCCGAGAGTCTCTCAGGCTCGGTGGCTGGGAAGGAATCGACAGCGGTCCAAAGGCTGTTCCGGCTAGAATTTGGCGGACATTGATTGCGGATAGAACCTCAAACGGACTGTCGCCTCCCCTTTGGTATCAACGAGCTTGTCTGAGGAGTCTCGAAATAGCTGACATGTTCAGCGGTGGTGACCTCAATACTGGGCAACTCTCAGATGAGGTGGTCTTCGCCCGGGATTACCTCAGAAGAGTCCGAGAAGTAACATGGAATCGTTGCTTCTTCAGAGCGGCGGGTCACGAAGATGCGCATATTTCTGAAATACATCATGCTACAGACGATGCTAAGGCCAATGCCGAATTGCAAGCTTCCAATGATGGCGAGGATGTCCCTGAAATTGTGATGGAGGAAGCAGACCAAACTAAACACGAGGAAACCATTGATGCCGAATTGAGTATCAAAGATGCCGAAAAGTTCGTACAGGATGGAGATGCCGTTGAGCAGGCTGAGGAGATTGAGCCAGTAGAGGACAGCAAAAATTCCGAGAAGCACGTACAGAGTCAAGAAGAAACTGGCCAGGCTAGACAGGAAGAGCCGGTGGACATCAGCAAAGGGATAGATGATCCGAGTGTTCCTGCACCCAATGAGCGAAACATGGAGATGCTGACGGCTACATCCTCGGAGCAACAAGGGCGCAACCACACTTCCGAACAAGACGCGGGGTCGGGTTCAGAAAGAACGGAAGACTGGTTTGGTATTTGCCCAAGGAATACATCCTACAACGACAAAGTCTGTATTCTGTTCGGGTGTAGTGTTCCGGTTATTTTGCGTCCAGTAAAGAAAGACGCCTACAAGCTAATTGGGGAAGCATATGTACATGGCGCAATGAGCGGGGAAGTGGTAAGAACTATGGAGAAAGAAGCGTTGGAGAGGTCGACCAAAATATTTGACATCAGATGATCCAGATCGCGTCCAATCATTACTAAGCTGGTCCTTTTTCATTTCGGGGTTTTGGAGCATCTGATATTGTTTTATCATTGTTATTGCCAGAAATAGATACAAACATCTTAGGTCTTTTCAATAGTAGATGTGGATACTATCATATGCTGTCTGTTCATCTCTAATCTGCTCAAGCAGGTATCCGTTACCTACAGTCTTTCGTTGCTCATTTTAATTGCACAGTAAATAGTAATGAGCACCGTAGCAAAAGACATCTTTGTCACAAACAGTGTATACTAGAAGAACAAAGGATCCCGGGCTGAATACCGCGAGAATACATAGATCACACGCCTCATTATATTGAATAACAAGCTCATTTCATCAATAACTCATGTCCCTAGAAGATCTCATATTGTGCAAACCATATCTCGTACAGTAAATAATATCGCTATAGTCAGTTGTGTTTCAAGTCAGAGTGTAGCCACCATCAACACGGAGATCAGCTCCCGTAACGTAGCGGGAAGCATCACTCAGAAGGAAGGTAACAGCCCCCATCAGGTCCTCTGGAGTACCCATCTTGCCAGTGGGAATAAGAGATATCCACTTATCGCGGAGCTCGGGGTTCTCCTCAAGGATCTTCCGAGTACTAGAGAACATTAGCAGCTTTCCAGAAAAGCAACGCAAATGGATACTCACAGTGCAGTGAGCATATATCCGGGACTGATACAGTTGACGCGAATGCCATGCTGGGCCCACTCAACGGCGAAAGAAGAAGCAAGGTGACGGACAGCGGCTTTGGCTGCATTGTAGGGGGCTTGAGGCTGGGGAACGTTAACAATAGCACCAGACATGCTACCTATCATGACGATGCTGCCCGGTGCTTTGCGCTCCATGAGGTGCTTGGCGACACCGGTAGCGAACAAATAAGTCCCGTCTACATTAACACCCCACAACTTCTGCATTCGATCGTAGGGGTACGAAATGGCGTCAAAATTCTCAGTAAAGCCAGCAGAAGTAACTAGGTGATCAATCTTCCCGTGCTTCTCAATGACTTCTGCAATGGCATTGTTCACAGATTCGGGGTTGGACACATCGGCGTAGTGAGCAGTGACGGTGGGCAAACTTGGAGAATTATCAGCGTCTTAGTCTTTCTGCTGGAATATAATCAACATACAGATCAGATTCAAGACCCGGATTCTCCTTTTGAAATTGCTCCACGAGCTTTGCGGCCTGGTCCTGCGCTTCCTCTCCTAGAGTAGTGTCAGTGATTTCAAGTGATTGTCCTGGTATGCTTAGCACGTACTATTCAAGTCGACAATAGCCAGATCCGATCCTGAAGCTACGATTGCCTGGGACATGGTCAATCCCAGGCCACGAGCACCACCAGTCACAAGAGTAACCCTGTTCTCGAGCGAAAACTGAGCCAGTGTACGCTTGAAATGCATCCCACCACGACCCTGAACGATTGGAGACCGAGGCATATTCTCGTCATCAGGGTATTCAAACTTGACATTCTCATCAGTACGGGCAAAACGACCCTCTGTCTCTCCCAATGTGCCCTCAGGGGCTTTGTTGGTCGCTGTTAGGAAGGGGTCTTTTTTGATATCATCGTCTTTGTTCAAACGGAGAGCCGTCGATGAGAGCGAGCGGACGAAGGTATCTAAGGTTCGCTGTTCTGTAGCTGCCAACACAGCGGGCCGTGGCGACCGAGAAAGTGCTTTAGCAGCTTGACGGACGAGGGTGGATCTGAACATTGTGTCTGTGAAGGAAAGCAAGCAAGCTCTGCAATTACTATTAAATGGGCATCAGTGGTGCTCATGTGCAGCGAGGGAATGAAGTGATGGGTGAGTGAAGCATGTGCTGTAGGAGGCAATTGCTAGGACATGATATCCGACTTACCTTTCACACAGAATTATTTGGTCACAAAAGGTGTGGTGGAGCCTACCTTAGGTCCAGTCAAATGGAAAGGAGAGGCTCGAATGGCCAGAATTTCCCTTGTGTCGACGATGGCAATGTTTCCCCGCGGCGGCAAATCAGGAAAACACAGAGATAGTAACGAAAGAAACGTCAAGAATCCCAAGCAGTACCCTTCGGCAGGTGATTGAGCAGGACATCCATGGCCATAATAGAATTGGCTCCGAAGAGGCAGAGCTGCGAGTTGCAGAGACTGGGATCCGCCAAAGATAGCGAGAAGAAACCAGTCAGATCAGCTTTGCTGTTAGGAAGTTGTGATGACAGTGTATTTTGCAGCTCGTGTACTCCGTATTTTTCTCTGACTTGTTTCAATGTGATGTCAGGCGCTGATGCTAGCCAGGGCCAGGCCCCAACCGCCATGCAGTGATCGGACGCTGATCTGCTCCCCGACTGGAGCTGCAAGCTTCCTTTGCAGTCCGCGTGACTCGCCCCTACGCCACTGTTATCAAACCCCAGGTATCAGGATACTTGTTTTGAGGTTCTTTGACTTTCTCTCTATTTCTCTGCAAAATTCCTGTCTCTTATCGGCATGCACTACAGGACCAACCACCCCATAGACACTGTCTCCTCTCAACACACTCACCGGGAGAAGTCCCGAAGCTCCCGGTGCGCATTGGGCACCTGAAGTTGTCAGCCATAGCCACTACGGATGATGCGAGATGTCAAACTCAATTCGTCAGGCCACAAGGCGCTACTCAAGTACCGACATGCCTGATATACATGATGTGGGTCTTTAATCTCACTTGGCCACATGATCAGTATCTCAATCTTCGAGCTCATTCCAATATTGACCCCAAGGTTTGGATTTTGCTTCAGCTATCCTGAAGTTGGGATCAGGAACAGTAGCCATAAGCTTTACCCCAGCTTTTCGTCCATGGTTAGGACTAAACTTACATTGAAAATTAGTACCTCACAACACAACCATATCCTTCAATACATTCTGGCTGCCTGACTGCTGCTACTTTCATGTTATAAACCATCTGCATGTATGATACAAAGTACTGCTACTACTCAGCTGAATTGATCGGTCAACTCGTGATGCGTGCACTACCTATTTACTGTATACAAAGTAGTCTATTGTTTTGTTCGGGTCTGAGTGTGCGGTAACAGTGACGGGTGGGTACGGTGTGGGGACTGATGGGTCGGGTATCGCAGCTAGCTCGATTCGGGACCCATCTCTGATGTGATATTGTACAAATTTGTTGTATAGAGTCTAGAGTTGTGGTTTCCTTCGCTGTATAGAATGCATGGTGCGGTTGCAAACGAAAGGTTATAGAGATTGAGTATGCAAGTAGTCAAATCGCTACGCATGTAAGATTGTTAACCATAAAGGACGCTCAAAACATATATTCTGGTTACATGTCCACATAGCATGCTCAGCACCTCCCCGGTCGGAGAGCTCTTTGCTGCAATGATGTTCATTGGTTCTTGTTCCCATGAGTATCGGAGTAGGTGCTCAGACTACTGTGTACTTCAAACAGCAGTAACTTCATACATTACATCCAAGTCACCGGTGTACATGCTACAAAGTTCACGGATTCTAGTCACCCCAACATGGTCTGAGTTGAACCACGTATCGCTTACTCACCGCCCTCTTCGAATTCAACCAGCGGCGTCCCGCTTTTACATTGATCCTGTAAAGTACCTGTTAGCAATGGCCAGTATTGAAGTATAGGCGTTGTCAGCTAAAGTGGAGCAATGCCTGTGAGCTGAAGAGAGAACCAAGATGTCCCTTGGCAGGCCGAGCCCGGGCTGGTCCAGCATGGCGAGGCTCAGGTCGACCCAGTCTCGGGACGAGGTAGTCATCTTCAGGGATGCTGGCGGTCATGACTGGGAATGGGTAGGGGCCGCGTGACTTACTCCTGCTTTATGTACCACCTTGGAGATGGTGCCCCTCTGTGGGCTGCGAATGACTGTTTCCATCTTCATACTCTCAATCACCACCAGTGGCTGGTCCTTTTCTACCACATCGCCTGCCTCTACCTCCACACGGAGCACCTTGCATGGCATCGGTGCGAGAACGCTGTTCGTGACGTCCTTCATTCCCAACGCCTTCTCCATCCACTTGGCGCGTGGGATCGTCAGGCGGTATTGGGTACCGCGCTGAAAAGCGATGATCGTGTCCTCATCGCGGATCACCGTCGTGTCCAGGCGTGTGTGAGGGAAGAAGGAGGTTACAACTTTCGAAGCTGGATCACGATGGCTTACAACTTGCTCGAATAAACGTCCCCCGACATCAACGTTGAATGTGTCGTCACCCGTCTGTTGCACCCTAACATCAAATTTGGAGTCGTTCTTTGTTCCCGGTGTTAGTTCTGCAAGCGAAATTTGTCGTGCCTGGTATCCTGGGCCAAAGCCAACGGCAGAGCCTTCAAAGTTGGCTTGCGTTCCACTTCCCGGATTCGAATCGTGGTGAAGGCAGGCCAGAGCCACCTGGGCCAACACCTCGGGCTCAATTGCCTCCCTTGTGAATAGCTCCTCGCGATGTTTCTCGATGTAGCCGGTCTCCACATTCCCGCTAATGAAATCAGGGCTTCTGCAGACAGTTTTCAGGAACTCAATGTTCGTGATTGGACCCGCCACTTCATACTCCTCTAATGCATTCGCAAGTTTGCGGATCGCCTCTTCACGAGTGTTGCCCCGCACAATCAATTTTGCGATCATGGGATCATAATGTGCCGAGACATCGTCGCCTGCGACGAATCCGGCGTCTATCCTCACATCATCAGTAGCGGCGGGAGTACGGACATGCAGCAAAGTGCCAGAGTCTGGAATGAAACCCTGGTCAGGGTTCTCAGCGTAAATCCTAGCTTCGATAGCATGGCCGCGACTGGCCATGAAAGCCTCCACATCTTCCTGGGTTAGGGGAAGTGGGGCGCCTTCCGCGATCTTGAGCTGCCAGTGCACAAGATCCTGACCGGTAACCATTTCGGTGACGGGATGCTCCACCTGGAGTCGAGTGTTCATCTCCATGAAGAAGAACTCGCCAGTATCATTGTCGAAGATGAACTCCACGGTACCAGCACCCTCGTAGCCAACAGCCAACGCAGCAGATCGGGCTTTTGCCCAGATATCTTTTCTTGTCGCATCGGGAAGGTGCGGAGCAGGCGACTCCTCAAGGATCTTCTGGTGTCTTCTTTGTATACTACAGTCCCGCTCTCCCAGAGCAACAGCGTTCCCTTGCTTGTCTGCAAAGACTTGCACTTCAATGTGGCGGGGTGTGGTAATGTACTTCTCCACCAGTACGTGATCATCCCCAAATGAATTCATAGCCTCGGATTTGGCAGACTGAAGCTGTGCCTGAAAGTCGGCTTTGGTATGAGCGATGCGCATTCCTTTGCCGCCGCCGCCCTTGATTGCCTTGATCAGCACGGGGTACTTGATCTTGTCGGCCTCGGCTTCAAGGAAGTTGACATCCTGGTTGTCGCCATGATAACCGGGTACGCACGGTACTCCAGCAGCAGTCATAATCTTCTTGGATTGACTTATGACTGTCAGCCTATGCTCACAAGAGTAGGTTCATCATGTTACCTCTTGTCACCCATGTCTTCGATAGCCTTCCAAGGAGGTCCAATGAAGACCAGTCCAGCTTCCGTACATTTCCGCGCAAATGCTGCATTCTCACTCAGCTGTAACGGGATCGGAAATATTAGTATCTTCGCAGCTTGTGTGTAACGAAAGCACTCACGAAGCCGTAACCGGGGTGTATCCCTTGGCAGCCTTCCTTCTTGGCGATCTCAATAATTCGATCTCCATCGAGGTAAGCGGAGACAGATCCTAAGTTAAAGGCAAATGGCGAGCTCAGCGCATGCTGAGCCTTGCTATCCGGATCCGTGTAGAGCGTCGTTACTCGGATTCCGTGTTGAGCAGCGGTCCGTCCAACGCGACTGCAACAGATCACCCCATATTAGTACTGACAATCAACAAAGATACCAGAAATCTTCACTCAGGGCTAAGACGCACAGCGCAATTTCTCCTCGATTCGCGATTAAAATAGAGTCCAGTGATTTCTCAGCCTTGGGCGTCGTGGTGGACACAGTGGAGGCCGCTCTTCTGAACCTTCGAACTACCGGCGGCCCCAGGCGGGACGAAGTGCGGAGAAGAGAGGAGAGTGGCATTGCAAGAAAGGCGGCTGATCAGTTGAGTGCCACGGAAGATGATTCAACACCACAGGGAAATGGCACGTTCATAAAGCAGCTAGCATATCCAAAAGTACGAGTGACATGGATTTGGAATGACACCAAGCTCCCCCAGCCGAGCTTCTTGTACGGCGCTGCAACGCACCCCTTCAGCCGACGCAAAGCGCAGCTGCGGGGAAGCAGCGGGCACGTGACGGGTGAGATCCACCCGCCGGTTTTTTCAAGATTCCAGCCAGCCAGACCATTGCATCACGTCCTGCGCCGTGCCTGAGGAGTGGCTTTTGATCTGCGCTTCGAGTTTACCTACCCTTAATTGTGTTGGGGTAGTCGCCTATTACAGCGCTTTCCATTGGATTCTGTCTTCAACTCTCTCTTCTGTTTGCTGTGTTGTGCGATCGTTTACTTTCCAATTCATTCGCTATCGGCCACATCCCCGAATTTGCTTACATTTTCACCTCCCTCACCACATTAATACTTTCTCATATCGGCAACCATGTCTGATGACGAAGATTTCTATGATGAATATGACGAAGACATCTTCTGGGTAGAAGAACCCGATCCAACTGTCGCTGTACGTCTCCACCCCCTATTTTCTTCAACCTCTTCTACCTCTGTCGCGCCCCAATCCCTTCAAATAACCCAAAATTAACACGACAATATACTATAGGACGATCTCGCCGCGACAGCAACCGCAACAAATGACTTGATCTTCTATGACGACCCGGCCCTCGAAGCTGAAGAATTCTTCAGCGACTGGGACGACCTTTCCGACGATTACTACGACCAAGACCCGACCGCAGTCCGACGTCAACGTGCCCTCAACGCCCTTCTAGCCCAAAAGACCCTGTCCGCGGGTATTCCGCCCACGAAACGCAGTTGGAAGCACCCCTCCAAGGGTTTGTTCGATATCGCAGCATTCCAGGGTGTGGTGTGGAAAAGCCCCGCTGACGATCTGAAAATTGCGCTGCATGAGCCAGGAGAGGGAGAGAAGGTCGCACTGTTGAAGAATTGGCGGGAGGTATTTCGCAATTCGAACCCCGCGATTGGAAGAGCTAGGGTTAGAAAAGATGCCGCGGGACGGAGAGGAACTGGTGCACCGGAAGTGGTGGATTTGTATGGCGCCGAGGATGTAGAGGCGGACGAGGGCGAGGACGCAGATATCGAGGACGGGGTGGAGGTGGAGATGACAAGCGAAAAGGGCAATGGTACGCTGGAAGACGTGCCTGCTGCTGGCGGTGACACGGACATGGTTGAGACTGGAACTATGGAAGGTACTCAGGACCTTCCCGATGGTATAAAGCCGTCTGACTCTCTTGAGGTGCCCAAGTCGAAACCAAACGGTGTCGCTGCTGCATCGGCAGACAAGCCAGCAACAAGAGGCCGCAAGCGCAAGGCTGAAGAAGAAAGCGAACCTGTCCCTGAAGCAACCAGTAAGACGAGATCGAAACGCGTCGCAACCCAGAAAGTCGGCGAGGCCAAAGCCCCTAATCCCGCGCCATCAGGTCCGGTGCGGAGATCGGCCAGAAACAAGAAGTAATTGATTTCACTGTGTATAGAAATGAGTACATGAGAACACGAACATACAACTTGTTACATCCTTGGTATCTAATCCGTAACCGGTCAATCAGATAGATCAGGTAGGTCTTGCTGGCATAGTATGTAGCACGGATTCTATGCAAATTCCCGGTTAAACGCACGCCCAATCACCATACGTCTAATCTCACTCGTCCCAGCCCCAATCTCATACAGCTTCGCATCGCGTAGTAACCGTCCCGCAGGGATCTCATTGATGTACCCATTTCCACCCATCAGCTGGATCGCATCCAGCGCACACTCCGTCGCCCGTTCCGCTGCATAGAGGATCGCGCCGGCACAATCCTGCGTCCTGATCAAAGCCCCAGATCCCTCCGCAGCCGAATTATCAATCTGTCGGGCCGTGGCGTACGTGTAGGCACGGGATGCGGCGAGCTTGGTGTACATGTCTGCCAGCTTACCCTGGATCAGCTGGTTGTGGGCGATGGGCATACCGAATTGCTTGCGGACATGGGTGTAGGGGAGGACGAGGTCGAGAGCAGCTTGCATGATACTGTTATGTGTCAGTAGTGTTGGTAGGTAATGCAGGGAGCATAAGAAGAAATGAAGGACGTACCCCAACGGTCCAGCGCTAAGAACAAGACGCTCTAAGTCCAAGCCCTCCATTAGAACCTTGACGCCGCGGTTAACTTCTCCGAGGACATTCTCTTTCGGTACGAAGACATCTTCGAAGACAAGCTCGCCGGTGTTGGAGCCGCGCATGCCTAGCTTGTCGAGTTTGCGGGCGCAGGAGAACCCCTTGAATGTCTTTTCTACTACAAAGGCTGTGATGCCCTTGGAGGCTTTCTCGGGTTCGGTCTTTGCGTAGACGACGATGAAGTCTGCGTCGGGGCCCTTTACGGTTTTAAATATTGCCCTGATTAGTGCTTGTGGCTCGTTTGGGATGGAGGCAGTTCAAGCTCACGTTGGTAATCCACATCTTCGTCCCGTTCAGTAGGAATCCACCATCAACGGCCTTGGCTGTTGTCTTCATGCTGACCACATCTGATCCGGCAGAGTGTTCGGACATTGCTAGGGCGCCGACCTTCTCACCTGATAGGAGGCCAGGCAGGAATCGCTCTTTTTGTTCGGGACTTCCGTTGAGGGAGAGTTGGTTGACGCAGAGCTGGGAGTGTGCGGCGTAGGAGAGGGCGATACTCCCTGTTTGAAATAGGTTAAATCATCTTTATTCAACCATTTAATGGAAAGAGAGCCATACCAGATGCGCGACTGATCTCCTCCATGACGACGCAGTGAGCCTGGTATCCCATCCCTAGCCCACCGTACTCTTCATTGGCTGTGATACCAAGGAACCTGATGAGGTCAGAATTGATAGATGGTCTACTCATATTCTGGATACTCACCCAGCTTCACCCAGCTTCTTCCACATCTCTGCCGGAAACTCATTTTGGGCGTCGGTTTGCGCGGCGACTTCCTCGGGAATTTCGCGCCCTTGATTCGCAACCGGCATTTAGCATAACCCGAACAGAGCATTTCGCAGGACAATATACATACGTGTGAATTCCTGTACACGCTCGCGAAGCTCTAGCAGGTCCTCCTCTGTAGGAGGGACAAAGTCCTTGGGGTGCTTCATCACTAGAGTGCGTAGTGCGGGGGGCTGAATGAGGGGTTTCCTGCACCGAACCAGAGTCCGAGAGGACTGGCGGAGAAAGAACGGGAGTTTCTGGAATGAAGCCATGGCGCCGAACACACACGCTGGGAAGCAATTGGTAAAAGGTCTTCAGCGTTGAATGACACGGATTAAGGACAAGAAGAAGAGAAATTGACAGCTAGGACGGGCGGATCATGCATCCTCGGATGACGGCGTGCATACTAGTTGATAAACACGGGGATGAGCACGGTTACCCGCGGCAATCATCGCCGCCCTTCTCCGCACTTCTCAAGGCAGGGAAAGTCACCTGCAGCTTGCCTGCTTCGGCCATTTCGGCGTCTGCAATCGCCTTCATCCACTGCCAACTACAATAATACCTCTCGTACTTCCTTCGGCTTGCACCGGCCATGGTGTAGGTCTGCATATAAGTCATATTCCCCAAATACGTTCTTGTCTACACCCCCGATTATCCCCAGATCATCCAGTTCCAACATCCCCGCAATGCGTGCTCCGTCTCCGCTCCTGCGGAGCTTGCGATCCAAACAACCCGCCCTTCCCTCCCGCTGTCTACCCGTGCGACAACCCTCGACGAGAACGCCGTTCCTCGCCTTCTCTAGATCTGTTGCCAGCTATACGCATCCTCATCATGCATCCGCCATATCGGCTCTTCCCACAGCGGTGGACACGTCATCCTCGGAATTCAAGGAGAATGCCCAGCAAATGCAGGAGCTCCTCGACCGGATGGCCAGTCTCCACAGCACAATTTCCCAAGGAGGGCCGCAGAAAGCCAAGGACAAACACATCGCAAGAGGGAAAATGCTCCCTCGCGACAGAGTTACCGCGCTCATTGATCCAGGCACCTCTTTTCTGGAGCTCTCTCCACTCGCCGGCCATGAAGTCTACTCGGACGACGTCCCAGCAGGTGGCATCATAACAGGAATTGGAACGGTCGAAGGTGTCACCTGTATGATTGTTGCTAATGACAGCACGGTCAAGGGAGGCACATATTACCCCATTACGGTCAAGAAGCACCTCCGCGCGCAAGCAATTGCTCAAGAAAACAAGCTTCCCTGCCTCTACCTCGTGGACTCTGGCGGTGCAAATCTTCCCCACCAAGCAGATGTCTTTCCAGACAAGGAACACTTCGGCCGCATCTTCTTCAACCAGGCCCGCATGAGTTCCTTGGGCATTCCACAAATCTCCGTCGTCATGGGCCCCTGCACAGCTGGTGGAGCCTACGTCCCGGCTATGAGCGACGAGACCATCATTGTCGAGAATCAGGGTACTATCTTTTTGGCCGGCCCTCCTCTCGTCAAAGCTGCTACAGGCGAGGAAGTTTCCGGAGAGGACCTTGGCGGCGGTCAACTCCATAGCACAATCTCAGGTGTAACAGACTATCTTGCTGTTGACGATGCGCATGCCATTGTTCTCGCCCGGAGGTCTATTTCCAACCTCAACTACCCTAAAACAACTGTTTCCCCTAAGGACATTCCCAGTGATGCCATCAGAGAGCCGTTGTATGACCCAACGGAGCTCAACGGCATCGTGGGCACCAACCTTCGGCGTCAAATCCCTGTCCACGAAGTCATCGCCCGTATCGTCGATGGCAGTGAGTTTGCCGAATTCAAGCGGGACTACGGTGCGACGCTTGTCACCGGATTTGCTCGTATCTTTGGGCATCAAGTGGGTATTGTCGCCAACAATGGTATCCTGTTCTCCGAGTCCTCCCTGAAAGGAGCACACTTCATCGAGCTCTGCGCGCAACGCAAAATACCTCTGGTCTTCCTACAGAATATTTCCGGCTTCATGGTCGGTGCAGATGCTGAAAAGGGCGGCATTGCAAAGAATGGTGCAAAGCTCGTTACGGCTGTAGCCTGCGCAGACGTCCCTAAATTTACAGTCGTATTTGGTTCCAGCGCTGGCGCGGGTAATTATGGAATGTGGTAAGTTCTCGATCAGACTCCACATGCTTCTTCCTATTATCTACTAACTACGTTTGCAGTGGCCGTGCGTACTCTCCGCGTCTTCTGTTCATGTGGCCCAATGCCAAGATCGGTGTCATGGGCTCGGAGCAACTCTCTGCTGTCATGGAAGCTGTGGGGAGGACAGCTGATCCGGACCTCAAGGCTCGGATTGATCGTGAATCAGAGGCAGTCTTCTCCTCTGCACGATTGTGGGATGACGGCGTCATTCCTCCCGCACAGACGAGACGGTTCCTTGGTCTGGGGCTGGCAGCTGCCGTGGGTGGAAAGGTAGATGATGTGCAGACCCGTTTTGGGGTGTTCCGAATGTGAGGTGCTTTAGTTGGAATGAAACAGGATCTGATAGTGGCATAAGCGCATCATATTTCAGTAATTTGCTTCCCGGCTCTGAAAACAACTAACTGTTCTGTTGGCCTCCGCAATGTGGCACGTTTCTTCTAAAACAGTGGTTTGTGATTAGCTATGGGATGTCATATTGGTTCCCGATTACGAATATATATTCGAAAATGAAAGACTATAGTATATTGAATATGTATCAGCATGATTGTGAATTATAGGGATGATTTCATCTCCGAGCATTGGTTTGCCATACATGCATTACGATGATCCATGCATACTAGCAGCCCATTGCCAATCAAAATGATCATCAGGTCAGATCTTGATATTACAACGGAACTGATCAGTCGTGAAGATGTAGATCATGTGGTTTAGTGACGCCTCAGCACTTAGGCCTCAGCACAGCCGTGACTGGGTTCTGCTGCTGCTTTTGTCGCTTGTATTAAGGCAAACACCGCAGTCACAACATATTAGCATTTGAATAAACAGGTTCAATACTCGTGTCCAACAAATTCGTATTTGTCGTTGCTACCCACGGTGCCTGTGGCCGTCAGTTCGGTGCTTGCCAGTAACGTCTCATATTTCAGAAAATTGGCGAAGTACACAACAGACCAGCAGGTTTTCACATCCATTCATCCGGCGCCATGACGATCAGAAGAAGCAAGCTAGCCGATGAGGAATCTCACTAGGAGACCCGCTGTGCGGTTTGCCAACAGTTATTGGTGCATCTGGCATGCCCATACTCAGGACCTGATATACGCCGTACTCTTCATCCTATGTCTAGAACGGTGAATATAGGATCTGCCTAGTAGCTCTAGCAAAGGCTCCTTTGTCCAATACGATTCTGCAGTTTCAGCTTAGTTCTCACTGCGTGGTCCGATCAACCTGCTGTGTCCTTGCTCTGGGTGTCTATGATCCTGCCGATCTGAATACGATGGAGGGCTAGAAGCTCACAGCCACTTCATACCCACTTACCTTTGCTTCAATACATACTGAAGCAAATAGGCAGCAACGTGAAATAGCTATAAAAGGGGGCCATCAGTCCGTTGCATTTCGATTCTCCAGTTCTACATCTTCATCCCAACACAGCTTCAGTTTGCTTTCATAAATAATATCATCCGCACCATGGCATCCTACCCAGAGAATGTTGGCATCAAGGCCATGGAGATCTATGTCCCAGCCCAGGTAGTCCAACTCTTCGTCGTCTAAGAGCCTGTCTGATTGTCTGATTAAACAGTGTCTGGATCAGACCCTCTTCGAGCAATACCAAGGTGTCTCCGCCGGCAAGTACACCATCGGACTAGGCCTCCAGTGCATGAATTACTGCACCGACAGAGAAGGTATACTCCATTTATAGACTATCCTGTATCTTCAAGTACTAAGGCTGCCTAACTAATCAACTGTTCAGATGTCTGCTCTCTGGCTTTGACAGCTGTGTCCTCCCTCCTCAAGAAATTCAGCATTGATCCCAACTCCATCGGACGTCTCGAAGTAGGCACGGAATCCCTGATCGACAAGGCCAAGTCCATCAAGTCCATCCTTACAACCCTCTTCGAGCCCTCCGGCAACACAAGCATTGAAGGTATTGACACTATTCACGCCTGCTACGGCGGGACCAACGCCCTCTTCAATGCCATAAACTGGGTCGAGTCACGGTCCTGGGACGGCCGGGACGCCATCGTCGTAGCATCTGATATTGCCCTCTACAAGGAGTCTTCCTCCCGTCCCACGGGTGGCGCAGGCTGCGTTGCCATGCTCGTTGGTCCCAACGCACTACTCTCCCTAGACCACAGCATCAAAGGTGTCTACATGACGCACACATACGACTTCTACAAACCAGACCTCAAAGCCGAGTTCCCTCTCGTTAATGGTCATGAATCCATCACTTGCTATATTCGTGCCCTGGATGGATGCCACAAGGACCTCCTCCGTCGCAGAAGCATAAACAATAAGAACGTGGAAAATGTCCTCGACCTCTTCGACTACATGGCTTTCCATACTCCAAACTGCAAACTAGTGAGCAAGTCCTATGGTCGACTCAAATACAACGATCTTCTACATCAATCGAGCTCGAAACCAGACCCAGACCTGACCGACATCCCGCCTGAGCTCCGCACCCTGACCTACGAAGAATCCCTCAAAGACAAGAACCTAGAGAAAGCGCTCGTAGCTCTAACCAAGAACCAGTTCAAGGAGCGCGTTGAACCATGCATCACTGCCCCATCCTTGTGTGGAAACATGTACACAGGCAGTCTCTATTGCTCACTTATCAGCCTGATCAGTAATATCGATTTGGCTAATGCGCAGGGGAAGACTATTGGCATGTTCAGTGTAAGTCAGCCTTTTCCCCAATTTCAACTATAAATCCTTTGGCTCTAACAGTTGGTACGAATAAAGTACGGCAGCGGTCTAGCCAGCACTCTCTTCGCCCTGAAAGTAACAGGCGACTTGGCGCCCATGGTTGAGAAAATTGATCTCATGAATCGTCTGAAGCAGAGACATGTCGCTACTCCGGAGGAATATGAAGAGGTAAGTTAAGAGAGTCATACAACGTTTCCATTTGTTGCTTTATACTAAGACCTTGTATAACCAGGCCTGCGCACTCCGACTAAAAGCCTACGGAAGCAACAACTATACCCCATCTGGCGACATAGCTTCCCTAGCACCGGGAACATACTACCTGGAGAAGATTGACGAGGTGTATCGGCGGACTTATGCTATTAAATCTTGATCCTGAGGATCTCTGGGCTTACTGGTCTGGGGCAGTGATGATTTGTTGCTCAATTTAAACTAATCAATAAAGGTCGGTCTCCATCGGGAATTCTTCTGTTCCTATCTCATTTCAGTGTGACCTCTTTAGGTAAAGGACTTGGTACTTAAAATCAATGGAAATAAATCGCTTCTACTTGATCAAAATATCATACTGCATGATACAAATAATCTATTTAGTACACGTACTAAATAATGTAACCACACGGTAGTAAATCCCCCCTTGGGTGTCATAAATACTAAGTAGTAGTAGTAAAGCCGGAAGTACTAGTCTATATAAATAACGGCATTTGATACTAAGTAAGTAAGTATCTTGCGGCAGACGAGTTCCTGAGTCTCTGATTCATTCTCTTCGAACGTAATCGCCTTAGAAAAAATCCTAACAGAAGCCACTAGTCTACTTAAGATCCTAGCAAGGCCCCACAACATTTAAGGAAGGAACCCCCCTGCAAGAGTAACATCTAGCTAGGCCTTGGCTAAGAGCCTAAGGCTTAAAACAAGGCCTGGTTCGAACGCACTGACGACACAACACCATGGGTTACTAATACTAATACTAAGCCTATACGACCAGAGTCAAATCAGTTGACTGACATCTTTGGTCCAGTGAGTAAGATAGCTAGCTAGCTAGCTAGCTATTCTACAACGAGACAGAGCGAACGAGCGAGCCAAGTTCTTCTACTACATGGTCGCAGTAACATCATTTTAATAGCAACAAGACGTCCGGCTTTCTATATATCTCGTGTCTAATGCTGTACTTATGCAGAGATGACATGACCTATAATTGATACTACTACAATCCTTCAGCCCCGGAAACGAACTCTGACTCCGTCCGGCTCTAGGTCTACGCGACTAGATGTCTTCGCCTATATAACTTTCACTGATTTATCTGAACATTTGGTATGATTGATGTAGTATTTACATTCTATCCGGGGACATACTTTCTATACTAGTGGTTCCTTTCTTCACCACCCCCTCTAAATGAAACATACAGCTTACAAGCTGTTCAAGAGTCCATTGATAACACAAAGAAACATAGAAGAAATCAACATATCTAGTTGAAAACCAATTGGGGTCAGTCATCTCATCTCTCTTCCTATCGCTGTAGAGCAATCTATCCAATTCTGCTTCTGCTTCTTTTCTCTCGCAATCAACATCCTGAAAGCAAGAAAGATACAAAGAAAGAAAGTCGCGCTGTTTGCATTTTGCACAAGAGAAGCATCCAAAGTGGTAGAAGAATAAAAGAGATCAAGAAATTTACACTTTTCCATTCCTCCGGAGTAAAAGTCACAAATGTAGTAATGTAGGACATAGTAATAGGAGAAGCATAAGTATAAGAAACAAAATATTCGAGGCTATAAGTCACATATATCTATCGTGGGAACACGTGGACAGGCGTATGATGAAACATGGCATAGGATAAAGTCAGGTAAGGGGTGGGTGAATAAGTAGTAGTAGTAGTAGTTGTAGTAAGTAGTAATAGTAGTAGGTGTTTCGACATTAGACAGGCTTTGTAGACGGGGTATGTGCAGTGAGCAGTGGGTAAGTCATGTGCGTAATGGTGAGCGATATAAGATAGTAAGTGGTCAGGGGGGCTAGCCCATGCGCTTGCTCTCGTTTATTCGGTGGTACGTTCGTCGTGTCGGGGAAAGGTCGCGAGTAGGACTAATTATAGGATCACGCAGGGTCCCTTACGCCGGGTCTGGCGCTTTTTGTCCTTTCGACGGTCCTGCCGATTGCCACCTTCCCGTTTGCGATCTGAGTCGGAGCCCTTGGAGTTTCCTTGCAAGTCCTTTCGGATGATCTGTCGGCAGAGGTCAATGAAGACTTCGTTGACGTTGGCTCGTCGACGGGCCGACGTTTCGTAGTAAGGAGCGTTTCCCCAGGTTTGGGAGAGAGCGAAGGCGCGCGCGCGTGGCACGGCGCGGTCCTCTTCCAGGTCGGATTTGTTGCCCACAATGACGATGGGAACTTTCTCATCCTCCTTGATGCGGATTATTTGTTCGCGGAGCTCGGACAACTCGTTCAGCGAGGACATGCTCGTAATCGAGAATACGAGCAGAAACCCTTGGCCTTGTTTCATGTACAACTCTCTGAAATGCGATCCAACGTCAGCAGGGGGCCCGAAATGGCAACGGTTGGTAACGTCCCGTATAAGTGGGCGTGGGGAGGAAGGGGTCCAGGGTGGGCGCATTGTTTACCTCATAGCCGCTAAGAAGATGTTAGTATTAGAAAATTTGAATGCGACCGTGTCCACGGAGACTTACTGAACTGTTCTGTTCCTGCAGTGTCCAGTCTGGATACAACAGTCAGCTATCTCCACTACCCATAGTGATGTAATTGCGCTATGGAATTAATGCGCTGCGCACAACACGTACATTTCCAGAATACATTGCCGGCCCTAGAAATGTCAGTGACTATCTCCAGACAAGGACGAAGCCAAACTCACATCCACGTCGATCTGCTTCCGGTATGAATCCTCGATTGTAGGGTCATAACTCTCAATCCAGACATTTTGCACGAATTGAGCTACCCAGCATCAGCGACCATGACAGAGAACCCGACAAGTATATGCGACCAGGAGCATACCAGTAAGACAGCTCTTTCCCACACCACCTATTACGCCGACAACGACCGATGGTCAGCGGTGAACCTTTCTCATTGTCTGTCACAGAAGTATGTACCCACCAGCACCTAAAACGACGATATGGTATTCCCGTCTATGATAAATTCAGTATGTTAGCGACTGCGGCGACCTCCGATCGGTTGTAGTGGAATAGAAAGTCCGGGGCGGAGCTTACTGGGGCCGCATTGGAACGGTAGCCGCGTAATCGGCGATTGAAAGAGTATGATTTCGATGCGAAAATGAAAGAGTCGACTCCGATAGGCTTCCGGTAACTTCTAAGCCAACAATTATATTGTCTGATCCTGGGGCGGAAGCAGTGGTCGAAGCTGGAACGTAGACTAAACCCGATCCGAATGCTGCGACAGACGAGGGTTGAGTCTCGGTGAGGGTATCGAGTGGACGGTGGATTCAAATTCAATGCGCGCCGATAAATTGAATTGAATTAAGCGTATTGGGGAATTGGGGGGGTGGTGGGAGGAGGGAAGGAGGTGGACTGGACTCCCTTTGAGGGGGGTGGGCGGGGAGGAAGTGCTGGGAGAGCAAGGGCAGCAACACGCGATCCGTTACATCGGTCTCAATGCCAATCAATTCCCGACCAATTCCCCGGGAGCTGGCAGGATGGAAGCGCCAGAAGAAGGGACGGTCTGAAGCAAGGCCGCGGGAGTGGAGGGTGGAGAGCAGAGGAGAGGAGGGAAGGTAGGGAAGGATAGCTGCTGTTGAACAGATCGATCGGTGACTTTCGGGGGAGAGAAAAGACACTAGTAGTTTACTAAAGGGAGAGAGAGAGAGGATGAGTGAGTGAGTTGAGTGAGAGCCAGACAAGCAAAGCAGAGCAGAGCAGAGCAGTAGCAGTAGCAGAGGAGCAGTAGCAGAGGCTAAGTCAGCGAACACGGACTGGTTCGGTTTGTGGGGAGGAACAGGAAAAGGATCGGTAAGTTCCATTGAAGAAGAGCGCAACAGAGAAGAACGTCGAATTTGGCTTACCGACAAGCACAGCAAGATGACGAAATGATGCAATAACGGCCTAACGGAGACGGCGATCGAAACAATTGCTGTTTCTGATATATTTCTTTTCTCGGTTTCGTCTTTTTCCTAATCCCTGAAGACCCCCGTTGAAGAACTGCACGAGAGGGAAAAGCAAAAAAATAAAAAGTCAAAAAAAAAGTAAAGGCAGGGCAGGGACTCTCTCCCAAATTGCGGCGGTGAGCCTCGAATCGAACGGCGATTTGTTGTGCGGCCGACTCTTGGAAACCTTAAGCCCCTAGTACAGTCGAGGTTAGTTAGCAGCTGGCGATGGGGAAAGGTTCTGGTTGATTGCTTGGGTCCCGATGATCCAGAACGAAAAGAAACGAGTAGATAGTAGAGCAAGAGCAAGGTGCTGGCTGTGGTGTTATAAGCTAGAGAAGGAAGTAGTTGACCCCCATCTTGACGGGCATCACTTTCGAGGGCAGAAAATGAGAAAAGAGAAAGAGAGATAGAAGGGAGGAGGGGGCAGAAAGAGAAACAACACCATCATTCTATTTCTCGAGTCTGAGATCAGATCGTATCAGCCTCTCTCTCCCTCTTTCTCTCTCCCTCTCTCATTCTCATTCTCTATCCATCAATCCCCTGCTCCTTCGCCCCCCTCCGCCATCTACCTCCGATTCGGCAGGAAACCGTAGACCGTAGAGAATGATCACAGCGGATGGGGGCAGAAAGCCCAGCGCATCCATCCATTCATCCATCCTTCCCTCCATCCTCCCTCAAGAAGGGGGCGGGCGCGGCATGGCTTGGCCAATAATTGAATCTCGCTCCCTCCCTTATCCCCTGATCCGGTGGTTTTTTCTTCTTCTTTCTCTTCTTCTCATACAGTAGTCATCTTTCTTTGTCGCCCCCGAGATCTGCAGCCCTGATGAGCTCAGCAGAGCCTCGCAGATGAGAAGAATGTGGCATGTTTGAAGGGGTTTGAAGAGAGGGAGGTGTGTGGATTGATAGAATTGGGAGAGTGGGTGTGGGTTGGAGGAAAGGATGATTGATGGGGATGACAGGATGGATGATGGAAGCTGAAACTGGATTATTTCCTCTTACCTTACCTCGAATTTTTTTTTCAGCGCCAACACACTCTTACCCTCACACTCAGCTTCACATGCACTCAGCCGGGCTCCAATTGCTACTACCTAGCAATGTCTCAGAAACAAGGAAACGGGGGAAATCATCAAGGCTCGTTAACCGCTGCAAGGACGAGATAAAAAAAAAAAAATCAAGCAGATAGATAGATAGACGCCGGACAGGCAGGACAGGCCATGGCGACTACTGATCAATAAATATTAACTGCCAGGATGTGCTACTATCTAAAGAGAAACTAGCAATAGTACAGAGTACAGAGTACAGAGTACACCATCTCTCTCTATCTGTTGTGTCTCTCTATCTACAGGAAAGACCTCATGAACATCACTCACAAAAGTCCCAAAACCCACATCCGTCATGCCCCGAGGACAAGCATAATGATCGATCTTCTTTCCCTCTCATGGCAATAATATCTCTCTCTCCATCATCATTATCACAAGAACAAACTCCCCCCCCCCCCCCCTTCTTACCATACGATGCCATGCAGGTTATTCATCTAAGCCCCAAAAATTACCTGTCAGCAGCAAACCCAAGCCAATAACCAGACATCGCCTTCCTAAAAAAAATCAAAAAGGAAAAGAAGGAGAAGAAGGGCAAGAAAAAACAAAAGGACATCGGGAGGTGCCCGATTCCAGGAACCGGAAGCAGATTCCGACGCCAACTCAACCCAACTCAACTTTAGTCTGCCAGGGACGGAAGCACCCCCGAAACTAAGCGGGAGGCACCATCACTGCTCATCAGCACTAGAACTTAGGACCACTTGGTAGTTGGTAGACTGGGTTGTTGTTAAGTCCTAAAAGATAAAAAGTACGGACCACCGCCACCGGACTTCCGGTCCCCAACTTCCGGGAGGCAGGCTGTCTGTGTGCCCTATCATTAATTTATTATATTCTGTAATCTATATTGGACCGATGTGCACGCGCATTGATGGTGCGCTAGGGCAATCAGACCATCCTCATCTCATAAACCACCTGACCGGGGAGGGAGGGGGGGAAAGATGGTACGGATACTTGAGTGGTTGTATCAGCATGATTGAAAGCCAAGCTGATGTGTCACATTGGAATAATTATTTTCTTGGGGGGACGAGCTGCACAAACATTGGTTTGGGTCGTGCTTGGTTGCTGGATGTGCAGATGTGATGGGGGACGCGTTGGTCTATGCATCACATGTGGATGTGAGGCGTCGGGGACGGGAAGAGCAAGACCAGACCCGACACTGGGACAATCTCCCTGCATATGGATCTGAAGAAATGCGCTGCTGCTTGATACATATGACGTATGTCACTGAAGGGGTCGGGTGCCGATCTATCATGGATCTATCTAGGCAACGAAGTAGTATCGAAGTACTCCGTACCGATGAAGGTCATTGGAGGTCTGCCAGCTTCGAGGCATCCGGACTGCGTTGCTTCGCCATTGCGTTTGTGAGGTTCTGGCGGTGTTGAGGTTATATTAGACGCTGATATAGTGTGTATGTGCTGTGTACAGAAAAACAATCAAGGCTAAACAAACATCTTTATAGGCAAACAATCAAACAAAGTAAGGCGAACAATGATCTTTGTCTCTCGTATCGCGATCTGCTGAGACAGCCAGATCCGCGAGTCGAAACACGCAAGCTGTCAAACTTGGCGATGGTGGGTATGAATCTCCCTCTAGGTTATGGGTGTTCTTCATTGGTGCAGAACCTCGTACTTCATGTCGGTACATATGTGCCTGCCGCACCATTAACCTTCTCCATTAATGTCCCTTTCTGATTCTCGGAGCTGTACCGCTCAAGCGCTTCGAAGACATGGCTGAATACCAATTGGTCCACATCACGCGCCCACAAGAAGTCTAAGTGCTCATACTGCGGGAATTCCTTCGCCACGGTCCCGCGGGGAAGCTCGGACAACATCACATTGATATCAACGAGACTATCGCTACCGCCATACAACAGGACAATGGGCGTCTTAATGTTCTTAGTCGGGTACTTGACCGGCTTGTAAAATCGCTCACTGGCAACAATACTGAGCGGCGCATGGATTTCGTCATCGTAGAACTGGAAATTCCGGTGTCGAATGATCTGGAACCAATGGACGACCGACTTGGTGCTAGTGAAGGAAAACAGATGCAGGTACCCTGCCAGCTTCTGCCAGCGGCTGATATTCTTGCACCTCCAATTGAACAGGCCGCGAAGTGACGTGTCAATGATCCGAACAAAGATAGGTGGGTAGAGAATCGTCTGCCACATTGTCGTCGAGCTAAGGATGCTGCGTCTGCCAAACAGCAGAAACAGGAAGTTCGGCGAAGCCTTCATGAGCGAATCCACGAGATGATTGGGGAGGCCTGTCGGGGCCATTGCCGGCGCTAGAGCCACAAAGACATCGATCTTCTGGTTCAACAAAGGATGAATGGACAGCGTCGCAAATGCCTGCGCCGTTCCCTGCGAGAATCCCACGTATGACAGGGACGGCTGCCCTGTCACTTCCAGGATATACTTAATGCTGTCTGGGATATCATGGAACGAGAACTGATCGATCGAAAAGTCCCAGAACTCGTTCGACAGGGGCGAGTGCTTGACAGACTTCTTCGAGTACTTGTTTCCTCTATTATTCCCCAACCACACGTCATAGCCCCTTTCGACCAATTGAAATGGAAGGCATCGCTGCTCCTCCGAAAGACAGACCCAGACTTCACTGCACATCATGAGACCATGGTGGAGATAGACGACCTTCTTCCTGATGCTTCCCTCGCCCTGATTGACTTTCCTCCCCTCCTCACCCTTCCGATAGGGCAGTCTGTGCAGACCAAGCAGATAGCCATCCCCCGTCTGGACAATATGTTCCTCCGCTTCATACCCAAACAGCGCGCATATATCCGTGAAGTCCGACGCCAGAGCAACCGACGCAGCCACCTTCTCTTCCTTGCCTCGTTTGGCCGGATCATCGGGGGGAATGAAAGCGTTGAAGATATTCTTGGATCGATCGTAACAGAACCTAATGATAGGTTCAGCTGCGCCAGTTAGCCCTTACCCCTTTACACCACCACCCCAAGAAATGAACACACTACTTACGCAGACAGAACGTGATGATATGTATAACCCATTCCAGCAACACCAGAATCAACGACCCAAACAGAGCCAAATATTCGAACCAAAACAGCCGTCCAATGACCGGAACGCGCGCCATGACGATAAAACCAAACCTCCTATTGTCATAAAGGGATGGACAGTCTGCAAATCAAACCACGTAGATTAATTATCACCGGTAGTAGTGGTAGTAGTAATGAACCATAGTGCGCCGAAGCGATACTTCCATAACTCAGACCGCATGACTATGGGAAGAAGAAGGATAGGATAAATCAAGCGGAACGAGCAAGCAACCTAAGTCAGGTTCCACACGCCCCCAGACGTCATGGGGGCCCCTTCTTCTTCATGTGATGGCTTACCTAATCCGGGGCAACGCCCGTTTGGTTGAGTTTGTTTTCCGATTTCAGCAAATTATCTCCAGATTGTCCGTCTCCGCCGCCGCCGCCGCCTCAGACCGGTGTTGTTCCTAACTTGTTATTATTTGGCTGAGCAATTCGGGCCTTGCCTTTATTGTTCGCCCAAAATGCCGAGTTCCTGCCAAGAGATCAGTATGTTGGACCCTTTCATCCCTCTTGAACTTACCATGATAATGCTTGGATATTCGGAAACGTATCCACGAACGGATATTACTACCACAATTGTCGTTCCTCCTCCCAACTCTTTAGCTATAATGTCCGGTCCACACACCCTCTAACCATTCTTATATCAATTGATTAGGGAACGCTCTGGCGCAATGTCTCCAAGAATCAGACTGCATCATGGTGCAACGGCGCTCGCCCCGCGAATGTCTGAGTGAGCCGTACGTCGACGAACTTCCCATGCGATGCCAGCAATTGCGGAAGGGGTTTAGCGAGTGCAAGTGAGTACATGACCAAATACATCCCTCCAAGCTTTCCTACAGTCAGTTGACAATATGCCTCATCTTCAGGCGCGGCCTCATCGACATGCGCAAGCGGTTCCGCGGAAACCAGCCTATCTCGGTATCGACGACGGAAGGCGGCGGCTCCAGCACGTCCCAGCAACTATATGCAGGCAAGCCGGCGTTCGAGACGGTCAAGGAGATTAGTGGTGATGAGGTGCAGATGGATCCGGAGAAGACTCGTGGTCTGTGAGGTGGGGGAGGGTTAGTTATGTCTGGTGTTGTGGGTGACACAGACTGGTTTTCCCTTGCGCGCTGTAACATCATGTTCTGTGCTTTTGTTGTATTCGTTGGCATTTGGCTTGGAGTTTGGTTGATTGATGGGACTACTTCGCTCATGTGCCCGTGCCCTGATAGTTGTGTATGATTGTCGGGTTACGGGTATTCTTACTTTCATGCTATACTACTAGATTGTACATATGCAATGGATGGGTCTGTCTGTACGCAGACTGACTTGGGCATTCTACGATTTGAGTCGTCCTTTCTTAAGACGTGCATTGTGCAGCAGATTTCATTTACTGATCTTTCAGATGATACATTACTTTACTGGGTCTTCTTGACCTTGGCCGAGGCGGGCTCCGAGTAGAGCCACACGAACACAAAGGCCAGGAACCCGCCGATCACAGACCACAGGCCGGCGATCCAGACCCATCCTCCGCTGATCTTCCAGCTGCGGGGGTACTCGTTGTGAGCAAAGTGGCGGACAGTCACCTCGTGCTTTTCCTCGATGTTGGTGAGGAAGGGGCGCTTGTAGTTGACCCGGAAGGAGAAGATACCGTGCTGGTCAGGGACGGTAAACTGCGTGCTGTAGATGGTGCTGTTCTCGGTGCGGGCGGTGGGCTCAAGCTTTAGGCGGTGGAAGGGAGAAAGCATGGTGAACTCGAGCTGCAGGGCATCGTTGGCGGGCACCTCGAAGGGGATGTACCGGTCGTGGCTGTACTCGGAGATCTCAATGCTGAAAACCTATAGGGACACGTCAGCAGGGGGTTGACAGCTATGTTGCGGACTGGTCAGTAGGCACATACGGTCTCGTTCTTGATGCGGTAGATGGTGGGGTTCAGGTCCTCGGCAGTAAGGTCGTCCTTAGCCAGGTGGTGCTCGATCTTGCCAACCTTGAGGACACCGGTCTCCTTGAAGGTCCAGGCAGTCAACTGCTTGGCGAAGTCCTGGTTGGCCGTGCCGGTCTCCTTTCCGTTGGGTGCCTTGACGGTCGCGGAGAACCACTTGTCCTGGAGACTCTCGACGGAGCCGAGAAGGGTGAAGCGAGAGGAGGCACGGGTCTGCATGGCGGAGACGAGAGCCAGCTGAGAGCCGGTGGCCCAGACATCCTCTCCCGCGGACAGGTCTTCCTTGGGGTTGTAGCTGTAGGCAGTCGCCGGAGCGCGCAGGATAGGCGCAATGAGCGCGTGGTCGCCGAGAGTGTGAGGAGCGGCCCTAGGCAGAGCAAGGACACCCTCTCCGTCGAAGAAAGCCTTGGTATCGGGTCTCAATGGGCCCGGGCGCTGGAGGAGAAGGACATCGTGCTTTTCGGCCGCGGACAGGGTGTCGTAGTTGAAGTGGTCGACAACGACAGACGAACGGTCGGTAGCGAGGTGAAGATCGAGTTCCAGGAGCAGCGAGCTGACGGCGCTGGGAGTGGTGGACTTGCCCGAGAGCGCAAGGAGGACGTTACCGTCCTTGTTCATAAAGTCGACGATGTTCTTGGGGCTCAAAGAAGGTCCAAATCCTGATCACTCGGTCAATTGTGTGTCCCTGTAGCATAACATCCGAATCCGAAAGTCGCCGCTAACCTTTGGACCTAGGAGGCAGGAGAAGAAGGTGGTCGTAAGCCCTCTCGCCGAGGTCGAAGAGGGAGAGCTTGTCACTCTTGGGAGATTCGAAGACAAGGTCATATCCGCGAGCTATTGCATATATCAGCACAACGCCAATTCCATTCAATTATGATTCTGTCCTGCAGATATACATACCTTCTAAATCACTCCAGAAAGTAGAGTAAAGATCCTTCTCCGATCCATCCTCCAAAACAACGAGCAGACGGTTCCCCGAACTACTGAGCGCATGTACAACAGCCAAGAAGCCAAACAGAAAGAGGGAGGAAAGAGACCACCGCATATTGAGTGGCTAATTTTCCGCACAGCGGAGGGGGGCAAACTGAGAATCAAAAGAATCCGACGAGCGAACCACAAAAGAATGATGGTTTTGTCGTTCGATGAGAGCTCGTCAAAAAGAAAAGAAGTACGTAGTAGATACATACGTAGACACACCCCCCAAACGGGCGACGTGTTTGGACCGAACGCCAAGACCCGGCAAATCCACTTTTGGCGGCTTTCGTCACCTTCAATCAACCTCCATCGATTCGTTTCCCCTCGCCCGCGCGTCGCAATCCCCGACTTCAATTGCCCTACCTCTCCGCAGGTTCAATTAATCCCCGGTCTTAATTGCCCATAGAGGATTCCATCCACAGATCGAACATCCTCCACCTCCATCACCGGTTTTTCATCACCGCCTCACACCCGAACACCTCCGCAACGAACAAGAAAATCCTTAACAATGTCGACGCCTCAGTTCTGGTCCACGCCTCTCCGCTACCTCCGCTGGGCTTCTCACGAACGTCCCGCCATCTTCTACTCCCTTATTATCGGCTCTATGGGCCCCGTTGCTCT